GAAAATTATGAGAGGTTTGAAAATCTATTTGACCCGAACAAAATAGTCATAGGTGGTACCATATTCCTTCACAAATGCTTATAATAAAGCTAAACAGGTTTCACCGAACCACACTAGAGAACCAGATCGATCATATTTGCATCACTAGAAAGTTTTAGAAGGTCGAAAACTAGAGACTCAAGTAGGAAGCCAACCTACACACATCAAATCCTCAACTATGGCAGCAGCAACCCAAGAACTCACAAAAGCAACTGCATACAAACTTTATCCAAAAGGGCGAGAACATACTGTAACACACTTGCAGCGCGGAAGGATAAAGGAAAATTTCTAATCACCATCTGTAATAAACGCTACTCACACGACTATATTCCAACTATTGCTATTACTTGTTCAGTTTAGCGGTGGCCTTTTATTATCTACATATTACTAAACGATTGTTAATTGCTTCTAATCCCAATTATATCAACCAATGGAGGAAAAACGAATTGTTAGAGTTGATTGAAAGAAGATCAAAATCTCCATTAGAAACCATTCCAAGGACGTTTATAAAGTAGGTAGAAACAAACAGAATATTAGACAACCATTAAATTAAAACATATTATTTATTAAATGCTTAGAAATCTATCAATCATGTAAAAGTGAATTTAATCCACTATTTAAACAACTTCATGAAAATCCACATCATTGCATTCATCAAGTTACCTTAGTGTTACGAACGAGAGCTTCATTCTGATGTCTGTGAGGGAATGTTTCAATTTTTTGAACACTACTACCCTAAGTGGGACGAAATATATCTGTTACAAGAACTTTGCATAACGCAAAAAATATATAAATACAATTTAACACTGAACAAATATTGAAATTTGATTCAATTACTCTTGTAATTAATAAGATTGCTGAAGATAAGAATTTAAAAAAAATAGTAATCCATAGTTTTTAAGGTATAAAACGTACAAAACACATAGGTAATTATCTATACAACGTCTTTCACGGCATAGTTTAGAAATGAATCTTGAGTAAAATTTTAAATAGAATGGAAATTTGTGGAGAGGAGGTCCTGAGTTCGAGTCCTGCATGCTGGATCGTGAGTGTGGACTGTTGAATAGTCGCACACTAAGAGGAAATGACCATCCAGTAATCCTAGGTTTTTAACGGTGGTCTAGGCTAGATCGAATCATGAATTTTTAAATTAATATCTCCTCTTTATGGAGGTACTGAGTGAATGCAAATCAACAATTTAATTTGAAAATTAGATGGGTTTTAATTCTAATTTCAACATAAAGTCAAAGCACTACTTTGTAATTTTTGGGTTTAATATATATACATGCATATTTTAGAAAATTCTGGACAGAATTCTTATATTACCCTTCAATATGATATTACAAGAGTTGATGATTTAAATTTTGATAAAATGATTTGGTATATCAAATTATTTCTCTCACTTCCATTTATTTTGGAATGAAATGTGATGTTTAAAAGTACAGTAGATGCGTAGGTAAGTAGTATGTGATCATAGATATCTTCGAAACAACTGAGTAAGAATTGTTGAAATGGAGTAGGTCTACGAAGTTATTTTGAGCACGGTTTGTAATCTAAAACTGCCCGGATGAGTTTATTCAGTTTATTGTGATCAGTGGTTTAGAGCTTGAGTAATATGGCACAAATGTTATCACCACTTATCGCTTAAACTTTGGATTTGAATATCATATCATATCATGTATTCCTTTTTTTCGAACCACATCTTCAATATTTAATCTTAATTACTACCATTATTTCTCAGTATAATTCTTATTCTTTTGTTAACTATGTCGTTAATTTATTCTCGTTGTGCTGATATGATATGCCGAATTGGGCTGCTAAACAAATGTCATATGCTTATCGTAACCGACAGCTCAACGAAAAAACATTTTAAAATACATGTACTGATGCTCATAATGAGAACTACATTTACAATTTAAAATGACAGTTTAGTTTAGTGATAATATATCTATCTGTGAATTGAATTTTTATAGCAAAATCTCAATGAAATTTAATATTTATTTATTCGTACAATGAAACATACTATCAATTCATTCATTTTTTATCCTAACATTTAAATGATGATTTTAACGTAATCAGAAAATTAATACATTGGTAACTTAATATTAGATAATGTTGTGACAGTTTATTACTGACCCATTTAATTGAAATAAATAATCTTTGTTTTTCAGAAGGGGGTTTTATGGAGATTCTAGTAATTTCATATAGTTGAGTTAATTGAAGCTAGACCACCACCGTCCAGTGCTTCCAGGTTTTCCATGGTGGTCTAGCTTCCATTGATTCATGATCGCAACTAAATAAAATCTTTGTTTTTGTAAGTGAAAAAAAAGGATTCTACGGCTTAAATGATTGAAATATAAGATTTAAGTATGACAATTAAAAATATAATATGAATTTGATGAGTTGGCAGTGTTAAACAGGTGTTAGTTCTTTACATGTTTGAATATGTACTAGTTTTAAAACTGTACAGTTTTAGTGTAATGTTAGTGCTTACTTTTCACAAGATTGCTTCCGTATAAGTATTTTGTTGAAATGAACAAAGAAATCAGACAGATAAAAGAAAAAACTTGAAATTTTATAATAAAATAACATTGGTCTCATACAACAGTATTCTTCGTCCCACAGTACGATTCACTGTAACCAACAAATTAAATTTGAATGAGAATTGTATGTTTTCAATACGTACATGTTGGGATTTGAGAACCTTATGATTATTTCGAAATACAATCGATCAAAGGATCCCTATGATACGAAACACGACCTAATGAGAACCAAAGAGATCGAATCAAGAATACATAATAGTACATCAACATGAATAACCCATACATAAATCAGTGAGAGAAAACGGGCCTTTAGGAGAGAATTAACATTCCCAAAAGACATCAAGAATATAGTGCAATGGTTCTATTTACAGTAGCAACAGTGATAACGTATAGAATATGTAAAAAAACAGCAAAATAAAAGATGCAGTCAATCAGAAAAATAGCAAAAGTCAATATGGAAGTTGTTGGGACGATCCTGAAAATTTCTTGCAATAGACATGACAAGCTCAGGAAACATAAAAAAGCATTTTATCCAATCAGCGCTTGACTTGAGGTTTTGCTAGAAACATCACGAAAGTGAAAAGTCAGATGTAGAGTTTCTGATTGGCTGATTACTACACTGCTACTATGTTCCAGAATTTTCAGGAAAACCCAAGGACATCTAAAATACTATAAAAACCCTATATTTTCTGCACAAAAATGAACCTTTGGAGTAAAGTGCTTCTTGCATATTTCGCACCTTTTTTCTCGTGTTTAAGTCGCTGTGTAGAGTTAGCTTGGGAGTTACAAGACTAGCTTAGGATCCGAATATAGCGTTCAATTAGCAAGATTTATCAGAAGTATGTACGAGAAGTTAACAAGGAATTAACTAATGATTGGAACTGGAATTTAGTAGCAAAAGTAAAAAAAAATACTAGATATGTAATAACTTTCATGGAATCCCCCTCTTTGAATATTACTGTTCATTGCATTTGAAATCTTTGTTTTTCATCGGTCAGGCAGAAAATCAAAGATTCATAAGGTTTTGACCAAAGCACAATGTGATAGTATTAGCCAGAGAAATAAAGGGAGTAATACGTAAAAAATCTGAAGTAATGTAATATAGAAAGTAGAATGAGGTATCTAGACCACGATGTCGAAATGACAAGGAATCGAATTTTTGGAACCGATAAATAATAATGAATAATCATTCATTAAAAATGAGACCTATTCTAACCAACTGTTCATAGTGAGAAGAGTTGAAATTAAATTAGCTTTGCGTTATTAAATATTTTTGCGAATCCTATACTTCAAAACGACTGAATTGGCAACAAGAGTAGTTGTAAGAAATCAACTAAAGACTCATTAAGTGAACGTATATTCTAAAAAATGAATTTCAATATTCTCACATCATTTCTTCGACAAGCAAATAAATTTTATTCATGTTACAGGTAGAAATTACCTATTTAAATTAGTTATTTGATGACAAAAGTGTTGGGAATATATATTGTAGTTAATGATAAAGTTTCCTACTGAAAGATCACAGTTCAGTATCAAAAAATGATAGGAAGTGTGTGATAACAAAAGACTAATTCTTTTTCATCACTAACACCTAGTACTTTTGGAAATTTGTATATTTAACAGAAACAGTTAATTTTTAACACATCAGTTTAAATTTAACAAAAGAAACAAGTAAACCAAACACTACACTTGTATAATGGATATCGAACGATATTGTTATCGCATTATGACAGGTTACAAAACAAGGAATATATAAAGCAACTTGTAATATGATCTATTTTTATGTTTTTTAGAATAAATTCAACAAAAAAGTCTTACAGGAAAGTGTGATTCAGGTGTAATAATAATATTACATAAAATCAGAATTAATGTAGTGCGTGAATAGACTCAATATGGAACAGACAAACAGGGCAAGAAAAAATAAGTATCATTGTATTCTATTCGTTGTGAAAAATAATGACAAAAGGTTTCATTTGTTACAGTTTGAAAAAAATATGTTATTAATTAAAGTAAATGACTAGAGTTATGTAACCTTATTCACAAAGTCTGTTGTTCTAGATATACAAGTTTTACTAGGTGACAAATAGTAGCGAGATTACAGAAGGATAAACAGACCAATGCAAAGATTATTGTATTCTAATACAATTGCTATTTCTCAAGAATTAGATTCCCAAAACAAACATTTTCGAAAAAAAACATAGATATTAGGCTGTGAACGATCTACATGAATGTTTACAATGGGTGGTAGGCAACTTAAATATTGTGGTTAATTTTTATCAGACCATAATTACCCAATTGAATGAGTGTACCGTCTCATTGATAAGAACAAACATCAATATGACAAGAATTCCTATTACATTACAGTGGGTTTCTTATGTAATCACATAATAAAATTATTTAAAAAAAGAAAATACTTACTTGAAGATTCAAAAAATTAGCATGTGCAGCATGTGCCATAGCACGAGCAAGTAGTGTTTTACCACAACCAGGAGGTCCATAAAGTAATACACCTTTAGGCGGTTGTAATAATCTTGAATTTATTGATAATAATCGTTTTGCTCGTAACGGTTCAAGTACACCATATTTAATTTCATGGATAATAGAATCCAAACCTCCGATAGAATTCCAAGTTGTATTTAGAACTTGTGGATCGACTAAATTTACAGCAACGCATACTTCATAATCATTTAATTTCGGTATATTTTTCAACCCAATAGCTTTGAAAATTGCTTGCGCCTAAGAATAATAATATTAGTAATAATAAAAAGTTCAACTACGAAATCTCAAAAAATGATTAATTTTTGTAATTCTAATCTATCCAATGTGGTAGTTGAGTAAACTTTCTCTGCAACGTTTACCACGTTACTCAATAAAATCCATCAAAAATACATTTGTTTGCATAGCTATCAATAAAATGAAAAGTTACAAAAAACCAGACACATTTATAGCTAGTTTAAACAAATATGATAGCGTAATCAATGCACGTTTTCATATCTATTTTTAGAGGAAAAAAGTGGGACCATAGAATATTGAACGATTTTCTTCAGGCAGTATGCATATTATACACAAATTAAAAAAAAACAACCCAACTTAATAAGCTTTTAATTTCGGACATTAAAAATCTTTATTATATTGAATAAAATTAGTAATTATTATTGATGAAATTAAAAAAAAGAAGGTAAATTAGGACAATTTTTATTATGAAATAAAAGCAGATTAAAATAGGTTATTGCTATTAAAACTTAAAAATTAGACGAAATTTATTTAGATTTTAAATGTAAATATTTCTAAGGAGATGATGGCTTGATATGTGATACAATGACTGTACTTTAATGTTATTAGAGTGTATACAATTCAACTCTTTTAGTAGATCTTTGAGATTTATATCGATAAAGAATGTGGTTTATGAAACAAAAATCGTAATACCAATAAGAGCTACATTGATTCAACAAGTCAATCACAAGTAATACAGAACACAAGAAAAATCCATCAGTACATATCAACACGACATCACACATTAGAACGAGAAAAAGAAATTATCAAAATACAAGTGAAAGTGAAAACAATGATCATGTAATTCAGCTTCAAATATTTACTACACCAAAACTGAATCGAAATGAAAAACTTGAAATTTATCCCTTTTTTTATTATGAAGCGTAGAAATTTGATGATTTTCTCAAATGTAACCTGCCCTCATGTACATGATACAAATACTAAATACTTCTCATGTAGCATAAATATCGCATTTCAGCAACAATTGTTACTATTACTTGGACACATAAATATCAGTCTCGCGCGCGAGCGCTTAACCGATAGACCACTGAGCCGGCATCCAACGGTGTTAATGTCTAAATTCAACCAATCCACGAAATTGAGCAACCATTCACTAATGTCTTCAGTAAGTTGATATCTCCCACCAGACCTGGTTGAACTCCACTGGTTACTGCTTTTCACTAGAACTTCAGGAAATACCTCATGGAGCCAGTCACTAGTGAGCATATGATCATTATCTGATAATGGATTGGTTGAGGATAGACATTAACAACATTGGATGCCGGCTCAGTGGTCTATCGCCTAAGTATACACGCGCAAGACTGATAGGTCCTGGGTTCCAATCTCGCGAGGCGGGATCGTGGATGCGCACTGCTGAGGAGTCCCATAATGGGACTTTCCATGGTGATCTAGCTTCAATTGACTCATGATCTCAACTATATAAAATTACTAAAATCTTCACAAAACCTCCTTCAGATACATTTCAAATATGTTGACAGACTTAATAAATTCATTTTGCGAAAAATCCGGATAATAGTTGTTTAATAATATTAATAATAATAATTCATCTATTTCGTTTATCAAATGGATGTCTTTGTTTAAAAATATCATAGTTTATGTTTTTGAACTAATATACAAAGAAACAATGTATGAAAACAGATTTACATAATAATTATAAATATAATCATAATCATCAACATATGTTCCCCAGTGTAGCTAATAGTATCTTATCAACTAATAAATGAAATATGACATGATTTAAACGAAAAAAGAGAAGAAAAAATAGTTTAAAGAATATCAGCTTACACGTTTACGACATTTACGTTTTTCTTTCATAGTTGGATTCATTTGTTCAATTAAATAAAACATTAATCGTATACTAATGCCAATTCCAACTAAAGATATGATGATTTGAATAATTTTCTAAAATTAAAATTGAAATCAATACAGATTTAATGATAATAATGAAGAGAGAGAAAAAGAAGACAGAAATGAAGTAGAATAGAGAAATAACAGTTTGATTATGATTACGCATACGTATACGTAGTATACGTCCTGTTTACTCCAGTTGATAGAGATTCAATACCTCATCAATCGATTTGTCATCTTCATTTGTCACCATATGCCTAACTTCAGCATTGCTCACCTGATAGTATCAAGGCATATTAACAATGTTTTGAAGATACCTATGATCACATACTAGTAACCTATGAATATCATTTATTCTTAATGAACATGTTTAACACCTGAAAAAGTAAAATACCCCTTCGGTCGAGAAACGGAAATCGCAACTATGCTGCAAGTAACGTACGTTAGTATATTCAACCGAACTCTCTGAATTCGTGCCGAGATTTTGTCATATACACCAACATATAAGAGATGATGAGCCTTCTTCTAAAATAAGTAGAGCGGTAGACTAACTCTCTATCATGAGTTCAGACGTTGATGCAGATCAATCTTAAAGCAATATTTCGCATTTAGGGGAAGAAGGATATATTCGAAACACGATATTATTGTTCAAAAAGATTAGAAGACCCTGGATTTTGTTAGCGTCTTGAACACGAAGGATAATACCAATACTAATAAAAGTTAAAACAATTGTCCAACAAAACATTCTTTTAGTAAAATAACTTATTTTCAAACTGTTTAACGAAAAAAATCATTATTGGGAAAAAATTCAGTTTGAATAAACTTTTCTAGAATACATGTCTTTGTAAGCTATTCATCACCCAATTAAGTTTAAAATGAAGCAACAACTTTTATCAATCAACAAAGAAACAAAGTGAAGAATTCTTTGTTCAAAAGAGATCGTTTTTTCGATGGATGTTTCACCATGTTAATATACTTTTTTTCAGACAAATTTCATAATGAATAAAAAATAACAGTTAGAAACATAAGCATGAAAGAAATAAGAAACGAAAAGTAGCTGAATTGGATAGCGGATGTGCAAGTTAAGTAGTGTGAACCATAAGGCGGTAATTCAGTGCTCTAAAAGATATGCTTGCGCAGTAAAGTTTTGTTGCGCACTGCTGAGAAATTTCAGGTTGGCACGAAGCAATGGAACGATATTGTCGAGTATCTACAGCGATTCTTCACCTGTTCTTAATTCATGACTAAAACTACGTTTAAATTAAACGGGTTTTTGTATTTTATTTAGATAAGTTGTTTCAGTTTGACACTTCTCAATGATGTGAAGAGTAAAAAGGACAGTTTTACGTGGAAAAAAGTTCTTAATAAATTGAAAATATTAACATAGCACTGAGTCAGTGTACAACTGTTGTAAAACATTTTTTCGAGGTATAAAAACGTAGTTTTCTATTATGAATGAAAAATAATAAAGACTGATATCATGTCATTCTGGTATGTAGCCAAAATAAATACTATACCGTATTCAAAATTTCGTATTACATGAACCAGACGTAAAAGGTTACATATAACATTTTTATTCTGTGAAAAGTTTCATTAAAATCAGGTCACTCCGTCTACCCATTGTGTAGAGTTCATAATGAATAAAAAACATTGTTACATTGGCTGAGAATCGATAGATGATAGAACAATAAAAAAATATGAATAAGATATATGAGGTTTGATTATAAAAATCTACTTTGAAGGTGTATATAGTAGTATAGTTCAGTTTGACTATTTCTCTTGCACTTTATTCTCTTATCCCAGCCAATTGTTATTGCATTAAAGTGATGTTAAAATCATACAAAACTACAATATTTCTCGAATTTACGCCAAAAATACTTAGTGTATTAAGGAAACATGTGCACAGTAAGGAGCTGGATCATTATTTTATGACATAAAAACAAATTCCTACTGTGGTATTACTAAAAGAGGATTCAAATAAACTAATTCACTTTGTAACTAAATTAACTAACTAAGTTATATTGTAAAAATGACTCCTTATGAGGAAAAAAGTCTACAGTTGGACAACACACTCATTTCTATAGTGCAGTACCAATCAAATACAAAAGAAACTTGATAAAGATCCTGACTCATCGTGCTAGAATGATTTGCTCGGATGACATTATTGTAGATGCATTGGTTAGCATTTGTAACTTGCTTAGTAGAAGTGGATATCCAACGGAATTCACCGACAAACACATGAAAGAGATGAAAAGAAGAAAAATGGTACCTACCGTTCCGAAGAAAGTACGGTTCTTAAAATTACGATTCCTAAATGATGCCACCGAAGAAACTGTGACTCAGAGGTTATTTAATTATTTTATTTATTTAAGCACATATATATTGGTACAAAAGGGCACCAGATACATATGTGCAACACAAAATAATGAAAGTAGGAAGAGAAGGGATGAAAAGATAAGGCGGACTGAAATGTACAACCAGAAGAACTCTCTCAGTTAAGAAAGTTTTAACCACTCTTTATGAAGAAAGTAAAAGGTTACAGCAGGTTCGCCACTGGCTTCTATTCTGAGCCATATCTGATAACGTCTCTAGCCACTGAGTTGCACCATCTCTCGGACCCCAACCAGGGAGTCGTGAAGGACCAACAGAAGCTAGCCCTTTGCAGCTTTCTTTCATACCACGACACCATGTCATACATTGACCTCCTCTCCGCTTTTTCCAACCAGTCCCATCGTCGGCAAATAATGCACGACGTGGAAGTCTCTGGGACGACATTCGTAAAATATGTCCAAGCCACCGAAGTCGGTGTTTCAAGATGGTGACACCAATTGAATTATCGTCCCTGCGCCCGAACACACGATGCCGAACCTCTGCATTACTAACATGGTGTTGCCACTGGATGTCAGCAATCCTTCGGAGACAACGATGATCGAACACAGAGAGTCGTCTAACATCCTCAACTCGGAGAGGCCAGGTTTCACAAGCATAGAGCAAAACTGCTCTCACCGACGCGTTGTAGATCCGACTTTTTACAGCCAGACTAACATCACGAAGGCGCCAAAGATGGCCCAGATTGGCATAAGCCGATCTGGCTTTCCTTATACGTGCATCAATCTCATCACTTACGCCACCACCAGCACTTATGTAACTACCTAGATACACGGACTTCTCAACTACTTCAATCTGCTCACCATCCAGGGTGAGTACAGGATGAGAATCCTGCCAGTCTTGTAGGAGTACTTTGCACTTGGAGGGTGCAAAGCACATACCGTACCTGCGGACACTGATTGTCAACTGATTAAGTGCGGACTGCATGTCTTGGGCATTATCGCACAGTAAGACAATATCATCTTCATGCTCGAGGTCGAGGAGTCGTTCTCCAGGCAGCATATCCACACCGCCATTACTTACATCCATCAGAGCTGTTTCCAGAATGTCATCGACGGCAAAGTTGAAGAGGAATGGTGAGATCGGGCAACCCTGCCTAACCCCGCTCCTTGAATGGAACAAGGGAGAAAGGTGGTTGTGTGCCCTTACTCTGCCTGAGGTGTTCGTATACAGGGCCTTTAAGATGTTAATGAACTTCTCAGGCACACCCTTCTTCAATAGACAATCCCAGAGAACAGTCCTGTCCAACGAATCGAAGGCAGCCCTAATATCAAGAAACACTACGATTGTTGGCCTGCGATAAGTATGACGGTGTTCTAACATTTGGCGGAGAGTGAAGATGTGATCAATGCATCCTCGACCAGAACGAAAACCAGCCTGCTCCTCGCGAGTCAATCGTGCTCGGGTTTTAAACAACCCACGAAGAATGACAGAAGCCAATAGTTTGGACGCAATCGGAAGTAGACTTATCCTCCGATAGTTGTTACAGGAACAACGCGAACCCTTTTTAAAGATAGGGACGACTATTGACTCATTACATGATGTTGGAACACTTTCTAGCTCCCAAAACCTTTGCAAACAACTCAGTCAGTTCCTTAGCCAGAAAGTCACCACCATCTTTACAAAGAGCCGGAGGTAAGTCCTCTGGGACAGGTGATTTGTAACGTTTCAAGAGTTGGAGTTCCTTGCAGACTTCCGCCTCGTTTGGTGGATCAGTCGTCACCGGCCGTGGGGGTGGGGCAGGACAAACTGGTTGATGTTGCCGGAGCGACAGGCCAGTTGAACTGCCTTTCGAAAAATTCCGCCCATCGTCCAAGACGTCGAGAGATGTTAGTGATTGGCATCCCATCATCCTCGTAGATTGTTTCACTCACACCAGACTTCTTGCTGCCAGTGGCTCGGATGAGTTGGAAGAGCTTCCGGCAGTTACCAGATGCAGCTGCTGCTTCCATCTCGTTAGCACGCTCCGACCACCAGGCTTCTCGGTCCTTACGCAAGCTTTGCCCGATTTCATTACGTAACAGACCGACGGGCTTCCATCAGTTGTAAGGAGCCAGAAGAAACCCAGTGCTTGTAAGAGGGACGTTTCGCGAAGCCGCAAGCGGCTTTACTCGCCATTTTCATAGCGTCGTGAAGATGCAACCAATGTTCATCTATACTTTTCGGTGGGATGGTAGCTAGCCTAGAAGCTAGCTCCGCACGATACTTACTTGCAACAGAAGTTGCAGCCAGTTTACTAACATCAATCCGTTGGTGGTGGTCAATCCTTCGGCCACTGAAAAGTAAGGTGAGATTGGCGCAGACCAGGGCATGATCAGACTCCAGATAGGTACTCCAAAAGGAGCGGCAGTCTTGTACACAGCCACGCCAGCGGTAGCTGATCGCGATGTGATCAATCTGAGTCCAGGCTTGAGATGCAAAGGGAGGACGCCAGGTGGCACACCGGCGATGACTGTGCCTGAAGTTAGTGCTAGCCAGAAACAGGTTGTGGTCTGTGCACAGTTGCAGCAAACGGTCCCCGTTATCTGTCCTGCGACCAACAAGTCCCCATCGGCCACCTAAACGACTCTCTTCTGTGCCTAGACGCCCGACCTGTGCATTTAAGTCTCCGGCTAATACTACAATATCTGTCGAACGCGCTTTCTGGAGAAGAACTGTTAACTGGTGGTAGAACTCATTCTTGATTGCATCCGGGCTGCAATCTGTCGGGGCATAGGCGGAGATGACGAAAAGACACCGTTTCTCACGCCGATTTCTTCTCACTTTGATGGGACTTTCTAATCTAACAGTACATAACCGACTGTTAATGGGGATCCAATCGATTAGTGCTGCCTCAGCCCTAGCGCTTAGTGCGACACTAACGCCAACAAGACCAGACGAAGATGCCACAGAGTCCCCGGATAAACGCACGTGAAAAGAGCTTTTCGAAGCGACAAATGGGGAGCGAATTTGTAGTACTTCACTAGAGTCTTGAATATGGGTCTCGGATAGACAACAAACATCGATATTAAGACGTAAAGACATAGCCAGCCCCATCTGTTGTTCGATCTGCATTAGTGTGCGAACGTTGAAGGAGGCCGGTTTGAATGGTGTACGTGGTTTAAGAAAGACTGGTTCAGTATTCGTAATCGGTGAAAGCATTCACTTTCAACCAGACAGTGACTGGAGATCGTTTAGATAGGACAGAGTTTCCACCATGGGCGAGCAACTGCATAAGTTGGAAAGGAAGGATACACAATTTGGGAATAAAGGGAGTGAAAAAGCGACGTAGTAAATAATAACAATAATGGTAATAATAATATTAATAATGATAATGTAAATTGTCTTTCTTCTATTAGGAACGAGAGTAGTGTAGTTAGTGTAGTGCGTCATTTCATGTCATTTGTTTGTGGGCTGTGATAAGGAGATGCGGTCCCATGGTAGCCGGTGACTAACAACTGGTTCATACGCCCTTTGTTCCTTCAGGGTACTAGAGCCTATGTGCACCATTGGTTTGGGATCAAGGTTTTCCAACTCCCCTAGGTGAACTTTCCGTGTCCACCAAACCGATTAAAGCGCTGGACATGCGCGTTTCGTCCTCTCAATTTCGTAAACAACACCCGCGCCACGAGAAGTCAGTGAGTAAGACTTCCCTGGCAGAGGCTATATACGCGTGGCTATGTGAGAGCATTTCGAGAGGGAGAGCGGACTCTCCTCTTTCTCGGCCGTAGCTGGGCATTCGGGGGCATATATATATTAGTGTAGAGCCATGATGAAAAATTATTTGAAAAGAAATTTATTCGTTCGATTCGTTCCTTCTTTATTGTTATTAGAACATAAAATTTTATCTGAAGTATAAAACGCTCATGGATGATTTGTACTGTAATTCAAGGCGAGATTATAATTTATGGACGAACATATTGGATTTAAGATAGCAGGTCATCCATTTCAGCACAATGTTCATACGGCTAAATAGAATTATGTCTGACTATAAGTTCCAACCCTACTACCTAACTGTAAACCTTAATCCTAATTCTTCACACTACATTACAAATCTCATTTAATTCTAGTAAGTAAATGGACATCCTCAAGGTTACCCGAATGCCGCTAAAAGGTCGCCCGTAAATTGTAATCTTACCAAATTGAAATATTACATTAAGGATGACGAAGATTAAATTGATTATTGAACAATATATTAATGATACTATTACATAGTCAAATTTAAAAATAAGCGATATATAAAATATGTGAACATTGAATAACTGATTCACACTAAACTGCTATAAATTATTAATTTAGAAGAATATAAAATCATAGAACAAAAAAATAACATACAAAAAATTAAAAGAGTAACGCAAACACTCAAATTTATAAGTTATTAATTAACTTACAACAGCATCAATATTGAACTTAAATTTTGGCTGTAAATCAGGTGATGATGTAGTTGAAGGGAAACGATTATACCACCAAAGACGAATTTGTGGCCATATTGATAAAGGATTTGCGAAAATAACACTCCAAAATTCTTTAAATGAAGTTAAAACATGTAGTGGATCAGATTTATGCTTAGATTCAATAGGTTTTAATGGTATTTCATTGTATAGTTCAAAGAATGGAAAAATTGACTGAATAAAAAGTGATTTCATTGTACGTCCATGATTTTGAACTGAAAAGAATCTCATTAGTATACCTAAAATTAAATATTATGTATAAAAAACAATAAAGATATGAAACTACAATAAACACAATTAACTTTACAAACAATCATTTATGATGCAAACAAGATTCATGAGTAAGTTGACTAAATATCAAAAGACCACGAGTAACTACAATGCAGTGATCTAAAGAGAATTCATTTATGTATATTTTAATAGTTCTGATACATTGACTATTTCAACGAAATTAATTTCGAACAAACAAAGCATTGACCGACTAGTATTTTTGTCATTTCATAACATAATCTGTTGTCAATAAACATTTTATTCTAACAACTCACACGATATTGGATCATGTAAAATTGATGTTACAACGTTAAATAGGATAATATATAACAAAATTTCCAATTAAGTTCATTTATAGAAATATAATTTAATTTATTTATTTATTATTTCATAGAAATTAATGTTATGTTTATCACTATACAGTCTAGTATATTAACTTTCTGATGTAAATTATTCTACTTTGGAACATGAGTAATAGTCAAAACAAAGAATTCGAACACAACCATGGAGGTGAAATAACGATAAGTTTAAGCTTTATTTATTTTATTATCAATGTTAGGAAAATATAAAAACACACTGAAAAGAAAAGTGTTAAGTAATAATAATGATAGCAATAAGTTTGTTCATTATCATAAATCTTATTTCTGTACACAAATCTCAGCACTAATATTGTCGTTGACGAAAATAAAAATAGGGACAATCGATTGTATTTTAATACGAAATTAGAGTTCTTTGGTAAAATGTGAAAACCATACGTTTAATACTTCATTTGTAAATCCTCCATCAATTGTCTAAAACTTTATCGCTCCTTCATTGCCATAACAATTACTCCCTATTCCCGTTCTCTTCAATTCGATCTACTCAACCTTCTGCTGACAGGCATTCCATTTCTGATTGGCATAATATATATTAATATCGACATAAGTAGCAAACACCACAATATTACAACTAATATCTCTTTACCATTTATTTGAATTGTAATCATTAAAAACATTTTATAAATGTTTTCAACACTTTAGGAATTAAAACAAAATTTTTTCCAACCCTTATCTATAAGATCCTTCTTGGTATTTCTTCAAAGAACAGACGAAAATAAAATTATATCAACAACTTGTGCATTTCGATTTGAGTTGTCAGTATTCAACATCGTTATAATTTGCAAGCTTTTCATAATTGTACTTAAGTACAAAGAACTAACATTTCTTAATTATTATATTTAAACAAATCTAAAAAGAATAAGATTAATTGCAATATTTATACAGTTAAAAAATAGTTAACCTAAACAGTAAAGAAGATTGTTTTCAAACCAACTGCTGAAGTTTTAGTCTATCATTAATATATATTAGCAAAATTTGATATGATTAATAATTTATAGATATATATTAAGACAAAATTAAAATTGATTTTCTTGAGGAAATAAACTCTAGAACTCCAGGAAATTCATCTTGAAGGTAGTCACTAGTGAGCACATGATGATTATCATCAGGATAGGGGGTTCGTGGAGTTGAGTAACTTTAATAGTTGAATTCATGAGTCGATATAAGCTTAACCATCATGGAAAACTTAGAAGCATTGGACAGTTGTTTTGTTCAAGCATAGGACTCCTAAGCAGGGCGTATCCACAATTCAGCACGCGAATTTTCAATGTTCGTCTATATTAGATCGACTGACGAATTCAACAATTAAAATCACTACATTCCCCACGAATCCCCATACTGATAAAACAAAATAATCAATTTATTAAGTGTACCAAATAATGGACAATTAATCATGTGATACATTAAAGAGAATCTATGTTGAAATTATCTACATCTTGGACATTTAGTTAGCATTACCTAATAAATAGACAAACTGAAAATTATTTATTAATTAACTAATTTTTGAGTCATTATAATGTGGATTCTATTTGAACTATAACGAAAATACTTTAAATCATAGTTACAAATGAACTATATCTACTTTTATATGTAATACTACAGAATAATTATTTATTAATTAATTAACAAGTCCATTAATTTACGGTACATCATTTTGTACTTTTGTTAAATATTTATTATTTACATTTTTTGTTTTACATATATGTGTATATACATATATAAATTATGTTAAACATAATTACCAGTATAGAGATTATAGTAAGGTTAACAGTTGAACTCACAAGTCAATCTAAGCTGGATCACCATTGAAAAGCTGGAAATATTGGACGGTCGTCTCGTCTTAATGTGATTAACCTTAGATTGACTAGTGAATTCAAATGTTAAACATATATGATAGAAATCGGGAAGTCTTTAAATACATAAATGCCTTCGAAATTAATTTGCATGTGATGTTGTTCATGTGTAGCATTAATTTAACTTTATTGTTTTATTAACAAATTAGTCAATAAATTTAGGGTTGTTACGTTTTAAATGAATAAAATCATCCGTTATCGATATGTAAATTACTTTTTCCAATTGATTGAAAAACTATAACAATAAAAACTAGTTAAATTAGTGCTTTTGATAAGACATTTTAATGGTAAACAAAAAGATGAGTATATATTATTTCTCATAAGCAAAATACAGGAAAATTTAAAATAGAAATGTTGACTTTTGAAAGAAATACATAAATTTCAAGTTTAAGTTGTAAAGGGATCTTATGGAGAGTATTTTCAATTCATAGGTGTTAAGTCGGCTTACAGTAAACTCTATCAGAGCCTCCAGAGGCTCATAAAGAGCCCCAACCAATCAGCGATTAATTAGAAGCTATGCTACTAAAATAACGAGATCCTGATTGGCTGTTTAACACACTGCTACTATGGAAACTCAAGGTCTCTTAATTACTATAAAACCCCTGTATTTTCTGTACATAAATGAACCCTGTAGTAAAGTGTTTCTCTGATACTCGTGCCTTTTCTCTGGTCTTCAAGTCGGTGTATAGTTCTAGCTCGGGGATACGGAAGTAGCTTAGGAAAGCGAATATAGCGTTTACAATCGGCCAGACGTAACAATAGGTTATATTAATCATAACTGGTAAGATTTAGATGCACTAAAGGTGAAACGGTTATCACAAATATTATTAAATGATTATTACGTTATATAGGGTCGGTTAAAAATCAGACTGTACCATTGGATGCCAAATCAGTGGTTTTAATAGTTAACGGTTAACTGCGAAACCCAAAGATCCTGGGTTTGACCTTTGATGACATCACTGGTGCATACTATGGAGGGTTCTCATACTAGACCGGAACAGCTGTTTAGTGTGTCATGATGGGCGGTGTTCGAAATCTGACACTGATATACGACGTGCTACAAGCTAACCCCCACCTGACCATTTGGGCAAGAACACAAGGATGAAGGAGAAAATCATTGGGCTACCGAATAATATGCACAAATATTCGATTATATACATACATCTCTACCCCTTAGAAAATCAATCAGTTTCTTAGCCAATCACATGCATTTATCCTTGAGGTCACTTCTGACTAGCTTTATTATATCACAGTGTTCACCGGTTTTCGATAGTACCCCAATTGCGATTAATCTACGAACGAATATAATCTACAAATTTCAGGTTCATTATTTTATGACAACACATATTGCATAATGAATACTCATAAACTCATTTTCATTGTGAGAATACTAGTACTACTTCTGACTATTTTCAATGAGTATGAGTTTATATATTGTAACTGGAAAAATATAATAAAGAAGTTACAGAAAATATGAAGCTAAAGATTAAACCTGGCAGAGAGCAATCAAATTGATTTCATGTAGACTGACAGTAAATATGTGATGACGATTGACAAGTCTAACCCAAACATTACAATCAGATACATAATCTGTACTCAAAAGAACTAATCACTATTCGGAACCGATGATAAACAACTTAAAGTCCACAGATGAGCTAATAATCTGGTCAACAGCGAATATACTGGTCAAGCGTTTCCTAATCACAACTAACATCCTACAGAACATACTGTAAAATAAAAGTTACAGAAACTGTCATGAAGAAAGTTTTCTAAATTCTAGTAAGATGTGTACATTCAGCTTAATAAGAGTTCATATCCAGATTCGTTATGGGCAGAAACTATATTAAACCTAAATATTTTGTTTACGAGTTCGCTTGTCTTATACACAGCTATGAACGTGATTATTTCATCAAAGATGTTACTTTGATTTATCATCGGATTATTGCTAGTGATGTTTTCGTGTTACTTAAAGTTTCTTATTCGCTGCTCTAGCAGTGATTTTATTCTATCAATCATACATCCTCGCCTAACAATACTTTCCATAAATCTAAAACTAACAAATCTACATAATATAGTCGTTATACTTGAACAGTTATATCCATTAATGACTCAAATGCAAATACCACTAATCGATATTCCAAAATGAATGTTTTAGCGGATCTGATCATGATGATTTCCTTCTCATACTCCAGGATTATAAATCCATGAAAGTTGTTTAACAATAGCCAGTCGCAGTCACACATGGGTGAATGTCAAATTTAAGTAGTCGAAAATAGTGCACCTTTTTATCAATTGGTGGTAAACTATGTACAAGATAGAAAGTGAGTAGAACTATGAGGTCTCATAATTTTAGGATAGCCTTACGTGTTAGAAAATGATTTGGTGGTTGAATGTACCTTTTAGATATCGACCAGGTTTGTCCGAGTTTACTTTAAAAACTTGGAAAATACTCAGCAAATCACTCGAAACTTGACAACTTGGCTGTGCTATCTTTTTAATAAATGTGAATGAAGATACAGAGTTTACCAAACTGCTCTTGGCATAAAAAAGTCCCACCCCAAAAATCTCTAGGATATAATGCCTATATTTTAAGATTGCAACTTCAGAAGCAGATAGCAGAAACCTTAAAATAGAGTAGTAATCTAGTCTTTACATCTTAATAAGAAATAGATACATGACAATCTTAAAAATCCATGAAAATCCTAAATAGGTACATCAATATGATACTTAGTACGACATTCACAGACACTTTTCAGTGAATAGCATTTTAAATTAAAGTAGTGTTTAGTTTTTAGATTTAAATACATACTAACAATGTTGATTCTCTACAGTCAATGGCAATAATCAGAAATTTATTAAAGAAAACATCTGTGGCATCTAAAAAGAATACATAATAGGCTGAAGAATAATCATGAAAACTTACATTCATCAACGGAAAATTATCAGTGATTATAAACCAGTTACAGTAGATAAAAATTGCATTCATAAAAAATTATGAAATATAAAAATGTGAAACAAAAAATTTCATATCAGAGACCTAAATGTATACGGTACTATGGAAGCTCTGAGTTCAACATTATAGGTGAGGAATGCTGAGAGGTCTTAGATGTTCAGTACTCTTTAGTTTGAAATGTGTAATTTCAGTTTATTTCAATCGGTAGTTGAAAATTACTGTCTGAAGTATATAAGATTCTTCACAAAATATAACAATCCCGACACATACACGCATACAAAACGACTGATGATTTGGAAAAAACGGAGAAAGTTGAATACATTACAACATATATTATTATTATTATTAACTTCTAGTACAAAATCTATATTTACAGATGTACAGAAGAATAATAAAATTGAAAAGGATGACAAAGTCATAAAAAAAGCATTCGTAATAATAATGGAAATAATAATAAGTAGAAGAGAAACACATCAAATAAAATTTCTTTTATGTGTACGAATAATAAGAATAGTAGTCTGTGACAATATCTACACGAATTAATAAATAAGAACAAATAATAAAACTATACAAACCGAAAATAGCCGATGCCAATGAACTGGCTACAAACCAATAAGTTATACAGAATGGTAATAATCCATAAGCTGTATACAAGATGCATGAAAAGATATAACTTAAAGTATATGCTATTTGAAATTTTACACATTTGAAGCATACAATTGATGATAATGAAGTAGTTGAATGTTGTTTATGTGTATGCGATTGGCTGAATTGATTAAAAAAAAGTATATCAACTAGAGCTTGTGTAGTTATATTAGACTGATCTGCGAGAAATAGTACATGCAATGGACATAATGCAATAGTTAATAAAAATTCACTCCAATAATATAATGGTGAATTTGTTCTACCGAAAAATTGACGATCAAATGTTGGCAAAGATGGTGCATAACCTTTCACAATCGGTGAATGAATAAACACCATGTACACTAAAAGAATAGTGAAGCAGGTTAATGCTAAAACATGACGATATCGATGAAGTTGTTTACCATGAAAAGTGAAGATGATCCATGGAAGAAAGAATATCTATAAAAAAGTTAAACAAATGTATATTAAAAGAGTCTAGAAATATATATACATATAATACAGTATTATATAGTTCAATACAATTGAAACAAACTAAAAAAATAGTGTTTTGTATCTCAAACGACCTACTTCTATTTCAGTAGAAAAACTTGGACAGAACTGATAACGGAGGATAACTGATAATATAATACAAACGTTGACCATAGATGTTAGAATAAATACTAAAACATCATTGGAATTATTGTCAATGAGTTGAATAGACCGACATCGAACCTGAAATTTGAAAAACAAACGCTAAAGAATTTAATAAAATAAGAATGTGTCGATCAATGAATATAAATAGAAACTTTTAAATAATTGAAGATTAAAATTAGCTTAGGAAAACAATCAAAATCAAGGACGGTCTAATAGTATCGTTGATAAGTTTCTTTTTTCAGTAGTATAATTAGAGATTACCACCGTTAGTAACATTTCAGTTTCAAGATGTATACATAGAAAACCTACTATAAAAAGTAATAATCCATATATCTATCATTATTTTTGTTATGCTGTAAAGCTTCCGGTCCGGATTTTGATACACAAACCCGACTGGCTACTCGAGTGAGAAAAAAGATTAAATGGCTAGACCGAATAGAGAAATATCTATACATTCCTCTCTCTCTCTGTCCAATAGTGTGTGGTTATTATTTGACCGATATTTCATTGACACACTTAACCAGAAAAAACTTGATAAATTAAAACTAATAAACCTTAGCTGTTAGATTCACTCGACCTACTTTGGTGCATACAGCTCTTACACGAACAATGTGGTTGAAAACCGAATACATAAATTGGTCCCGACCGTAGCTGTTGACGCGGTGGTCAGGCTTGCCTACCATGATGACCCAACCGAGCTATACTGACTGGAACATATGTTCCTGTAGGTTATACCATGCCAGGTAGGTCGATTGCAGAACGGTAAGATTGAAAGGAGCAACTCAAGGTCTGAGGTCGAAGCCATACTGTTGACTGTAGAGGAGTGTGACAGCAGTAAGGTGATGCCCTTGGACAATCAGCATCTGCAGTGATGTTGCCTTCTCACAAGAAGAGGTGGGGTTAGAAAAAGTCGACCCTAAAAATGTCACACCTCACAGATATCCGTCTACGGCGGTAAGACTATTTGAAAAACGGAGCTAATACGTCAAAAACCTCCGACAAAAAGGCCATGCGCGACCGGCCTCAAGCAGTTGTCCCTTGGGCTCTGCGGTCACGCTCCCAGGTCGTTAAGACTAACATTAATCCAACTTCCTTTTCGGGTCCCTCAAGAAATACCCTTCCACGGTGTGGGCAGCCGGGAAGTGATATTAGCCCTCATACCCGTAACAACACACGAGGCCAAGTTGATCACATTCAAATCCTTCCTACACCTAATAACTTTCTTTTCTCCACCACTAACCATTCTCATGTCCTTTTAACACCTCGCACCACTAGGGCAAACGATTCGAGTACGTGGAACGTTATTCCTGGTATCCTGAAACCAAGCTTCAAACTACATATAAAAGCTCTTAACGTCCGAACATTGTTTCAAATAGGACAACAGGCTTCCTTAGCTAGGACTTTAGAATCTCGCACCATCGCTGTGTGCTGCGTCTCCAAAACGCGCATACAGGGTCCGAATGGCGTCATTCATCTCACCTTACCATGTCAAAATAAAAAAACGAACTCGATTCACGCTTCGTGTATCTGGAAGCCCTGATGCTGCATCCCGTGACCTCTCTGGAGTAGGTATAACCTTGAGTCCTAGGGGGAAAACTAGCACTTTTAGACTGGATCCCAGTAGACTGTCGTCCGTTCGCTGTTCCACTAGATTATATCGCTATCAGCCACTGATGGAGGGGCTCGATAGAAGACTCGCTCATTCTGGACACATGCTTAGACTCATGTCATGCTCTAGTGCGAGCGTGTATCTGTCTGTGTGTTACTGAACGTAGGAAAGACGCTGCAAGGAAGCCTCTCGAAGTTCCACTTAATAATAGCCAAGCTGAGATTACATTTCAGGAACAACTAGAAAAACAGTTAGGCAGACATGTAAGTTGTGCCCACCCCGAGACAGCTGTGGAAACAGAAGTGATATCTGCTAATACGGCAAACCACAAGGTTAGGGAGAAACAATGGATTTCAGCAGCATATACCGCACTGATAGATGCTCGAAAACGCATCCCACCTGGCTCTGAACATAACGAAGAGCCGAGTCAACTTAAACGCAGGCTAACAAGAAGCCTGTGCAATGACCGTGAACAGTGGTGGGTAGCGAAAGCAAGAGAGATGGAAAAGGCAGCAACAATAGGAAACAGCAGGCAGCTATTCAGACTTGTTAAAGAAACCGGTATTAGGAACCCAAGTATCAGTGAAACTATCTCAGATAAAGATGGGCATATTATTCATTCTCGATCCAGGAGATTGGATCGATGAGCAGAACACTTTAAGGATCAGTTCAACTGGCATTTAGTCACACTTTGGTTTCCCACGACCTCCAGTCGCATTAAATGTTAAGTTAATGTAAATCCTCCAACTCTTTACGAGGTTGGAAAAGCTATGGGAAATCTGAAGTGACGGAGAGCAGCAGGCCCCGACAGGTCTACCCATGAGATTTTTAAGGATGGCGGTCCAGTACTAGCAGCGAAATTGACTGAGGTCTTAGTTAGAACCTGGGAACTGGACGTAATTCCATCTGATTGGTCTCAATCACTGATTGTGCCAGTCTATAAGAAAGGACAAAAGTCCTCCACTGACAATCACAGAGGGATCAGTTTGACCAATATAGTGTCTAAAATATTAGCTTAAATAATACTTGAACGTCTAACCAAAGCTCGTGAAGAACAGATTAGAGAAAACCAGGCTGGTTTTCGACCTGGACGTGGCTGTATAGACCAGATATTCACTCTACGTCAGGTCCTAGAACATAGACACACATTCAGACGTCCCACAATAGTATCATTTCTTGACCTTAAGGCGGCATTTGACCCTGTTGATCGTGAGGTTCTTTGGCAGTGCTTTTCACTAAAAGGAGTACCAAAGAAGCACATTAACCTCATAAAGGCTCTCTACTCGAACACAACTGGTCGAGTTACAGCCTATGGCGAACTGTCATTAGAATTGATTACCTCAAGTGCTGTTCGTCAGGGCTGTTCAAATCTCTGAATACGCCGATGACATAGTTCTATTTGGTGAAGACGCTGACAAAATGCAGTCTTCTGACCACTATAAGCAACTATGCAGGCATGTTCGAGATGCGATTCTCCCCCTCGAAATGCAAAATGCTACTTCAACATTGGGTTGCATTGGCACCTGAAATAATGATAGGGAGTGAAGTAGTTGAGCGTGTCAACCGCTTCACTAATTATGGGAGTCTCATCAGCCCTTGTGGCCTGGTATGTGACGAAATCTCAGCACGGATACAGAAGGCACGTCTAGCTTTTGCCAACTCACGTCATTTATGGCGTAGGAGAGATATCCGTCTACCAACCAAACGACAGATTTATTGTGCAGCAGTTCGGTCCGTCCTACTGTATGATAGTGAAACATGGCCGATAAGAGTAGAGGATATTCGTAGGCTGTTAGTATTCGATCATAGGTATCTTCTAAGCATTGCTCGTATATCCTGGGACCACCGGGTAAGTAATGTAGTTGTTAGGAAACGAGCATTAAGTAAGGATGGCAAATCGATTGATGAAGTAGTGAAATTTCATCAGTTGAGATGGCTGGGACATGTGTTACGTATGCCCAACCACCGACTGCCCCGACGTGCAATGTTTCATGGTGTAACAGTAGGTTGGAAGAAAGCTAGGGATGGCCAGAACAAAACGTGGTACAAATCCATGAAGTCACTGACAATTGGACTGAGCCATGTTGGTAGCTGTAGACTACCTGGTTGTGATAACAATCGATGGTTAGAGACCTTGAATGACATGGCTCAAAATCGTTTGCGATGGTGAAAATGCATTCACTCTGTGTTTTTCTAAATTCTTATCTTCTGAATTCTTCAAGTCCCTTTTCATTTTTCCTCTTTCAAATTTATTTCACTAGATTAAAGTCCTTGAATAACATCTTCAAACGCTAATCTTTCCGATTATCAATTATACTCTTACTGCTTCTACCACTATAGAATTTGAATCGACAACTGCATCTCTGTGCTAATGTGGTATGGCAACTCGAACTGATGTACGTATGTATGAAGTTCTACTCTGTGACTGACTGACATAAATTGGTACTTGGTGAGTTGCATTAAATTAATCATTCGGATTGTAACTAAAATAAATCATGTATAATATAATTATTATAATAAACAAACTCTACTACCCGATAATCTGCAAATTTATATCGAAGAATCCACCATGTTTACTGAATTTTATGTTACATGTGTATTATGTACTACAATTCCTTTGATCTAACGAGAAACTCATGATTACAACTAGGGTAATCCATCTCACAATATACACAAAGTGAATGCTATATTACAAATGAAATGATGATGAACATAACCGTCATTCAATAGTCAAATTGAAAATATGTCACAATGAATAGATTAGGATCAAAAAGGCCGTGTTTATATGATGAATAAAACTTCATAGAATGTGTTCAGGATGAACAATTGTGATTGCGCAATTTTTAGAAATGTCTTGAAAAATTTAACTAGAATCATAGTATACATAACATTAAAATAAATAAATTTTTACATTCAGGTATAAATTTTGGTCAAATTTGAAATAAGTATTGTTACCAAATTATTTTAATTAGATGTTTGTTTTAAAAATGAAAAAATAAAATCACTAAATTATTTACTGCCAAATATATAACGCACACACAGAGAGAACGACATAAATCTAAAACTACTTGCCTTGTCACACAGCCATCTTTGAGGGTATCCAGCGGAGATTTGAGCAATACAAAATATCTCCAATGAGAATATTGTATACAGTTGACAAATATTATCAGTCATAGATACTTCCGAACGATGAATAAGATATATTAATAAAACTAATAAACTAACTAATGAACAGGTTAGCCTACAATGTGATTAAAATTGAAAAATAAAAGTAGATAGAATGATAATAGTAACTATTATTATTATTAGCTTCATTTAATATTATATTTTTGGTACAATATAGAATTCTCAGCACAAAGTACTTCAACAAGTTTCCCTTTCTTACTTCTTCGTCCTTCCTGACGATGAATATTGAGTGATCGCCAGTTAGAACTTAGCAGCCCAGTCAATTGACATCTGGATAAAGTACATTCTTGTCGCTGCATATTGCCAGCAACCACGATATCTCTGATTAAGCTTTCTGTAACCTTTACAGCGAAAGGTCTTACACTTTTCAGAAACGCACCTGAATAGGTTGTGCGATTAATAGGCATAATGATGTATTAAAGCAAACGAAATCAGATAACTTGTTGAAATATCTAGATGACAGGAACAGGTAGCCCAGATGTTTAAACAGGCCGCCAGTAGGAGCTGTACTGGTTATTATTATTATTTAAACAAAATATCGGTACAAAGGGGCACCAGATACATATGCGCCACACAAATCTCATTTGATTTGTGTGAGGGCTGTGATACCGTCCAGGTGCCCAGACCGAAACGTGGTTTTCTGAAGGGGGCCACACAACGAGCCTTTGACCTAAAGGTCTAATCTACAAGACAGTGGAGTACGTAAGGAGATGCAGTCCCATGGTAGTCGGTGACCAACGATTATTTTCATAAACCATTTGTTCCTTCAGGATACTGGAGCCCATGTATACTATTGGTTTGGAATCACGGTTTTCCAACTCCCCTAGGTGGACTTCCCGGGTCCACCGACCCGGTTAAAGCGCCCGACATTCGCTTTTCGTCCTCTCAATTTCGTAAACGACATCCCGCTGCCACGAGAAGACAGTGAGTAGTACTTCCCTGGCAGAGGCTATAAACGCGTGGCCATGTGAGAGTATTTCGAGAGGAAGAGCGAACTCTTCCCACCATCGGCCGTAGCCGGGCATTTGGGGGAAAAAGCTTGCCCCAGGGGAATACAAAAAGCAATAATTAATATTTGATCTGCATAACTCATACAAATTTTATCAATGCAATTAATACAACGATAAGTACTTAAAAATTACGTACGACCAACTATATTACAGTAGTGAACGAGAACTTTGATGGGGAAAACCAATTTGTTGTTTAGTGCGAAATTACAGAGTGCCTTCGTGAAAATATGATAACCACACATTAAATACATTATTTGAACATCATCTTTCAGTTGTCGTGTACATGCTTCATGATTCTTTTAATTCCGTTGTTACTACAACTGCTCTTCGTTTCCCTTCCTGTTCTCTTAAATTCAACCCTCTAAATCTTCTGCTGGCAGGCATTGCCCTTCCGATTGCTGCTACATACTACTTACATGTGTCAACATAAATAGCATGCACCATACTACTATACGCCTTCATTTTTATCTAACATTTCATAAATTGCAATTATTATCTTCACTTTCATAATAATAACTATTAGGATAAATATTATATTTCAAAGAACACCTTTTTTATCTGGATAAAAACTTATTTCAATTGTTCTAAGATGTCATTGATGATATTCACTGAGTTCCTGAGTTTAAAATTAAATAACGATTAGGAAGTCAATCAGGTACACAGTAATAAGATATTCAGTATTTAAAGGTAAACAGAAAGTGATACAACAGTATTACACTTAAGGATTAAAGGTTATGTATTCAGGAAGTCGCACTTAATCAACAGGAAGCTTACAGTTTAGCAAATGATTCAGAACAGCATTTAACAACAATTGATTTATTTACTGCAAGAGCTTTTTTACTTACACTTATGACAGTATTAACCAAGGTGCATGTGATTGGAAATCGAAATTATATACGAGGAATCTAAGTTCTAAATGTTTTGAATATATTGTTTTTATAACATTCTCAAGAAAGTTCTATAAACAAAGTCAATTGTTATAGTTATCTAATTTCGGTCAGTTGTTATCCCGTATAATGTCTCTTAATATGTTATAGTATTACTGTTCCAGTAATTGATTTTCATTATAATCTCTTTACACTATAAGCATCACAAACAAGAATTTTGAAATTCTAATTTTAAGACATTAAGAAATCAAAACTTACAAAATTAATCTTATAAGTAATTCACAAAATGAATTGCATACAACTACATGACTACGTCTTGGATTGTTCAATGAAACGGATAAGAATTTTTCCGATGATTTCAATGAACTGCTATTGTCGTCTTTTTCGAAGATAGTCATCATCATATCAGATTCGCAGTTAGTTATCGTACACCGAATTTGATCGGTTATTAAGCTATCATTAATATCCCAAATTACAAGACAAACCATACACGATATAAAAATGGAGAAAAGCAAAAATACAGTCAGGTCTGGAGGAAATACATTTATCTACAAAAGTAAGAAAGGAAACATAGGTGGTAAAATAATAATAGTAATGAGATAACCGAAAGTTAAGAACTAAACTTTTCTATATGTAAAGAACATATCACAAACTTTATGGATTAGATTCGCGGTCATATGGTACAGAATTAAGACTATTACGCTTCGAATAAACGGCTTTGATATACGAGTAACTTGTTCAATAGAAATTAACGCTGTGTCTATTACCGAATAGACTAATTTACACAAAATTTGCTGGTGTAGATTGCCCGATTTCGTAACAAAAAGTGGTAATGGTGGAGCAAACTAGGGAAAATGATCGTGAACATACGTTTCAGTTTAACATATGTCATTATGAATGTTGATTCGGTATAAAATTACTGGATAGAAAAAAGTACCTGACAACAATAACAATAATGTTTTATTCAATACTATAAATCTGAGTGAAGTAAAGAACTCAAGGAATCAATTGTGCAATATTACGACAAATGTCTTTTTACCGTGCATTCAAATTGTATTTATTCAAAATATTTTATAAATACTTTTAGTAGTCAGTATTCGCCACACATATTCAATCATTAAGGTTTTCTACTAGTTTAAATGCTATAACTATTTTCCCAGCTGTCGCATACAAGGTGATTGAATTTCAAAGGATTTGTCTATCGTTTTTTTCCAAGAGCATATAGAGAGGAAAATATCTTAAGAAATGTAATGTTTCTGTTTGATTTTTACAGTATTTAGTATTGCAGTAATCTGCGGTCCTTTTATGACAGCTCTTAAGTATGAACAATTACCATTCAAAATTATTCAGTTCAAACAAATTTAAAACCGGTAGGTTAATTATAGGATTTTCAATGTTGAATAATAGGTGGTCCGAACGTTCTCGCAAACCATCGATATTTCATGTTGTAATTAAATCAAATGGGTAGCATATTATCAATATACGAGTACACTGTTTCAAAAAATACCAAGATACATTTAAGTGCTAAGCAAAATGATATCAGAGTTACGACAGATTGTAATACGAAACAAACAAATATATAACAAACCAATATTAGAAGTGGAGGACTTGTAAAAAAAATGAAAGCAAAAACTAAAAACAATCGATGTAAAAAATATAGTAATAAAACAAAGATAGAATATGCATGCTACACAGTCAGTCATAAGGAACTTAGAAGCTGATACGTAAATGAATCGGTCTAAGCTTTGAACCAAAACAAACATGTGTTTATAGATTTATCATGATTATCATGTAGGTATAAAACGCGAAGCCTACACCTCTACGCTCCATATACAATATCCAACCATTCCAAAATTAATACATTATTTAACTGTAGCTAAAATTAATGTTTCGTAACCCACTAATACAGATACTACTATACTATATGAACAGAATGTTATAAGACAGATAAAATTCTAGAAAATTGAAACTCCCACGTCATTTGAAGTCCCATATTAATCCGACGGAGAATGAATATTGTCGATCAAATAAAGGTCTATATAATAATTCAATATGACGTACAAATCTACAACCTGTGTTTTCCTTATCCCCGTAAGTCCTAATAAAACCTTCTCACTAAAATACGCTATCAAAAAGTATAACAAGACACGTTAACAATCTGATAAGCTGAATTTGAAGTTATTTTAATCAGTTGGTTTCCAGTTTGTGAACTCTTTTTCCTTAGAAAAAAAGAAAAGAAACTATCTAACATATTATACACATTACCATAAAAAATTTTAAAAAAATTTATATATATATATATATATATATGAAAAAAAGTGAAAATGATAATATTAGAGAAAACGTGTTCGACTATCAAAATTATCATCACTTAATGACTTGATTTTGTGCCAGTTAGTGATATTTTCTATTATTGAATGAGTGGGCAAACACTTAGCATTTTCTCAGCGATAAAATGTAGTAATTAGCTCCACTAAACAGTTCTATGACCTTGTCCACACTTAGAATTATGGATGATTGAAGTAATTACACTAGGTGGAGTATTCCGTTGAGCTGATAATTTAAAAATAAATCGAAAAATTTATAATTCATTTACTTAAAAAAGTAAGAATATAGTTTAAGCATACCCTCAGCTTCGAGATTAACAGGGCGGATTCCATAAGGATCGGTCGCGCACAGACCGAATCGGGAAAGTACGGATCATCGGTGAACAATCAATTGAATGAAATTAACCACTACATATCAACTTCCTTCACCATGAGAAAGTTTGACAATGTGGATAGGAGAACCTTGTGAAGACTTCTTCGACACTATGGTGTTACTGAGATCATCAGCAACATACAAAATTCTTAGAACAAACTACACTGCAAAGTTGTGCATTTAGGACAGCTGACAGATGCATTCCAAGTGGAAAATGGTGTCAGAAAAGACTGATTACTTCCTTTCAACCTCTTTCTTCTGCAAAAGTAGCATTCCTATATTCGAAGAACATCTGCAACTCAAAACAACTGTCAGACAATATCAAAATCAGAATCATCAACACAGAAGTCAATACAGTTCTACTGTACGGAGCTGAAACTTCGAGAACTACTACAACTACCATCAAAAAAGTGCAGGCATTTATTAACAGTTGTCTATGCAAGATATTCAGTATACGTTGACAAGGCACCATTGGCTTTAACTTAGACTGATAAGGAACAAACCAACTTCCGGTCGAAAAAGAAATTAGAGAAAGACGCTTGAGGTGAACGAGGCACACACTGTGATCGAACTGCATCACAAGGCAAGCTTCAACTAGGCATCCTGGAGGCAAAAGCAAAAGAGGAAGACCAAAGAACATATTGAGTCGGGAGTTGAGAGCAAAATTAAAGTAGTGAGTGTCACTTGAAAACAAATTGTAAGGAGAGCCCGGGTCAGAGTTGTTGGACAATAGTGATGAGTGGTCTACACTCCACGAGTGATAGCACACATAAGTACGTAAGTAATTGAGGCATCGATAGAAAATGATAAAGTAACAAATTTACGAAGATTTCGAAAACAGATTCTGTCAAAAGTATTCAAATAATGATCACTGTACATTTTGTTGCGTAAGCCAGGTTAAAGGCTTCTAAAGGAAATGATAACGAAACAGTAATCAAAAAGTAATGCAAGCAATACAAGTTTCCGGAAAATCTCCAGTGACCGCTAACAACATGCACCCCAAACCACTGTTCAGAGAACACTAGATTTTAATTGTTAACGAGGTGTATCGCGTGTATTCAGCCATTAGGACAAAAAAGAAACAAGTTAGAATTTATCTGAAGTAAAAAATGAGCTACGAATCTAGGGAATATGTGAAATAAAACATGATCTGATGAATCAATTGCTACAATACTTTAAATATTACTGAAAATAGATTAGATTATATACGATCATATAAGTGTACACAAGTAAATGTAGGTATACGAGGTGTAGCCAATGTGCAATAAATTTTGAAAGTCATCATTTGACTACGAACAGAGATAAGACTGTAACGCCCGGGAACTGATTAGATCCATGCGGAATTTCATAGTTCTGGTAAATTCAAAACTATTTATTTGTCAATACACCTTCTAGTTCTCAGCAATAAAAAAACGATGTCAATTCACGAAGGAACCTATCATCCAATTAAACAAAAAATACTTATTTGATAAACTATTAATTTACCATTATTTTAAAAATTGTTGGGGATGTCAAATCCCCAGAACTTACTTGGTAAATGGCGGAAAGATCCCGCTGGACATATTATTAGATACGTTCAATCTGCCGGCCGCCCCTACACAAGAAACACAAAAGGTCGATCTACGGTCCCGAAGATGGTCACTGCGCCAACGGCGACAGACAGTTAGAATGCAGGTGGACCCAAAGAATGTCCTTTACTAAAAAGGGGAGGTGTTGGGGATGTCAAATCCCCAGAACTTACTTGGTAAATGGCTTAGTTTTGTAATTTTATTTTGGAAATTTGAATTTAGCTGTTTTTGCGCCAAACGCGATCTCTTTACCTTCACGTCACATTTCCCACTTGTAAACTATCTTAAACTCTATTGGTTCAATGTTTCTTTGCGTGTGCTATTTATTAATGACGCTCAAGGACAATTTGTTGCTGTATAAATGCGCTTGACTTTTTCCCTTATTTGATTGCTTGTACTCGGCTGCTTACGGAATATATCTATTCCCCTACTTGCCTTGAACTTCTTCATCTAGTTAGCGGGGCCTGGGACAACAGATTAGAATAGCTTGTCGTGTCATTGTGTCATTGGCTTTCGTTCGTTACCGCGGAATCGATTTAGTTCAAGCATATCAAAAATAAAATAGATTAACTTACTGATATCATAGAGATGAATGCAACAGACAGAATGAATAAGCCAGGATAAATTACATTCTGAAGTGCATATATAAATACACTAATAGGATATAAGTCCAATGTTGCATAAGAGAATAAATATATGAATAAACATATCATCCAAATTATGCATAATATACAAGTAGGAATAGTTACGACGTAGACAACAGCACTAAATATTTTCATGAAGAAAAACAGAAAACGCAAAAGAAACCATAATTGTTGATTGGAGAATTTCTAAATGTAATTTATTGAGAACTTAAATGTATCTCTCAGATTAATAATCATAATACTGATCATGATAATGACAATAATAGTAGTAGTCGTAGTGATAATAATAATAATAGAAACGGCCAAGTTTTCTAATTATTTTTACGGATATACACATACAAGAGTTAACTAGTCCTGGATAGCAACTCGGACTGAAATACTTTTACCTGGAAACTGATGACAATCAACACAGTATTGGAATAAGTTATATACTGCGATATGAGAGTCAGTCAGTCAAGCCACATACAACGTAGGACCAGGTACATATATGCATCGGTTCAAGTTGCCATAACCCATTAGCATAACAAAAGGAAAATCGAATTCATAGAAAGTTACTTTAATGATAGCAAAAAAGAATGTATACACCTGCGCCATTGTGATCGATTAGGAGCCATGTCACCCAGAGTCTCCAATCACGGGTTTCAATAGTTGCGCGAACGCTGAGCAAGTAGTATGCATCTACCAACATGGCTCAGACAGTAATTTAATGACTTTATGGATTGATGCCACGTTTTTAGTTTGGCTGCCCCTAACTTTCTTCCATCAGTCCCCAACACTAGTCAGCATTGCGCGTCGTGGCCTATATGATATGAGAAACGCATAACTGGTTAACTTTATCAACTGTTACTCATTATGGTTTTAATGTGTTGTGTTTTTGATGATGAATATTATAGGACTGCATCTCCTTACGGTGCTCCACTGTCTTGTAAATCAGACCTTTAAGTCGAAGGCTCCGGAGGTGGCCCCCTAAGAAAACCACCTGCTTCGGTCTGGGAACCCGGGAAGTATTACAGCCCACACACAAATCAAGTGACTCGTGTGGCGCATATGTTTTTGGTGCCCCTTTGAACCAATATTTATGTGTTCAAATAAACAAATAATGTCGCTTAGTTAAAACAATGCTAAGGGAAAGATCAAATAATAATAAGATAGCCTTTAGACACAGAATATAATCTTTTTAAATTACATGTATACATACATATGGTAAAACAAAAAAGTGATAACATACCCAAACAAACTGAGATGAAGCTGAATTGAATTAAAAGTTATTGTTAAAAGTAATAAACCGATTTTGGCAAAATTACGAGAATAACCAGACATTTCACGGCTTATTAGATTTAAATTCAATACGGATGGTAGAATTAAAGCTAAACTGGTCACCAGACATGAAATAGCTAAAATAGAAACACAAAAAATGAAGAGAGAATAAATAATAGGGGGTATAGAAGTTCTACAACAATACAATAGTTCTAATTAAAAATGGAAATAACATGGATGATGGAATTGAAAAAAGTTAGTCAGACATTTTTGGAAACATGGACGAGATGGATAAACAATAGCTAAGTAACGAACCCACGAATACAGGTAGCAAAATAACATACATGAGGACCCTTATCATATAAGAACAGAAATCACATTTATTTAACGACTTTTAATGGGAACATATGAATACGATGCTACGAAAATAATGTTTTGTAATAGTTCTGCGATATTATGGCGTTTTAATATCCTAAATTAACTGGCTTGTATTTGGCATTAATACGTTTGGGGCGAAATGATGATAAGCCGACCATAGATGCTGCTTCGATTTGGTGGTCTGGCCTGTATATCGTAATCGTTTGATTAGAGCATATCAGCCGAAAGCTTTTATCTTCTAGATACTGTGATTTCATATAGGTCAGTCGGAAAACAATAAGCCTACAAGTAGCAAACTTAAGGATCGGGAGCGAATTCGTACTACTGACCCTACAGAGGTATGACGGCAGTAAGGTGCTCCACTCAGGCAACCAACATCTGTAGTCATGTTGCTGTACCACAACGGAGAGAAGGGGTTGTAAAATGTCGGCCCTAAACATAGCAATCTTCATCCTGTTCTGTAAATTTTCGTCTGCGGTGGTTAATCCTGAAAACTACGGAGCTAACACAGAACGAACCACTCACGAAAAGGCAATATATGGTAAATCCCAACCAGTTACTCCTTGAGCTTTGCGACCGACCCCCTAGATTCTCAAGATCACATTAACACCAATCCTTTATCCAGGCCTCTGGAGAAGTAACAACTGCCGTAAAATATCCAACAGCACTAGAGATAATCAACTGACTGACTGATAACTAATGAACACAATTAGGTAAATGGATAAGTGATTTATTCTATTTTATTTAATCACATACATATTGGTTCAAAGGGCACCGGACACATATGTGCAACACAAAATAATGAGAATAAAAGGAGAAAGGGGGAAGATGCGTATATTTAAAAGAAGGAAAAAAAAGGAAGAGTAATGGTGGGGGGAACTAAAATGTACAACCAGAAGAACTCTCTCAGTTAAGAAAGTTTTAACCACTCTTTATGAAGAAAGTAAAAGAAGGTTACAGCAGGTACGCCACTGGCTTCTATTCTGAGCCATATCTGATAACGTCTCTAGCCACTGAGTTGCACCATCTCTCGGACCCCAACCAGGGAGTCGTGAAGGACCAACAGAAGCTAGCCCTTTGCAGCTTTCTTTCATGCCACGACACCATGTCATACACTGACCTCCTCTCCGCTTTTTCCAACCAGTCCCACCGTCGGTAAATAATGCACGATGTGGAAGTCTCTGGGACGACATTCGTAAAACATGTCCAAGCCACAGAAGTCGGTGTTTCAAGATGGTGACACCAATTGAATTATCGTCTCTGCGCCCGAACACACGATGCCGAACCTCTGCATTACTAACATGGTGTTGCTACTGGATGTCAGCAATACTTCGGAGACAACGATGATTTGTCAGTCGAATGTGTCGTTTCACAAATGAAATGAAATGACACATTCGACTGACAAATGGATAAAACTTTGAATCGTATAACTGAGTATTAAATGAATTGATCAAGTTTATTTGCATTCCTCCTTGGATTTACACATACATACTAAAGGTGGAGATAAACTAGTCAACGGACGAATTTGGAATTTTTAGACGAGACAACAAATACGAATTACCAGCACTATTTTCTAAACACAAACCTAAGATGGAAAGATATTTTATAATGGTAATAACAAATGTATTGTATATGTACTGTGAACTTCCGTTAACGGTTAAATGTATTATTTCCATCCAGCAATAAGTTAGCATACTTAAAGTTAATGACAAATACTTTATTAAAATATTTCAAAAACTCACTTCAAAATGCTGAGATAAAAATCAAGGTGAGAGATTCTAAAAAGTTAAGCTAGTTGGCCAGATTTTCTATTATATATTTTAATAGCAAGTTACGAAAAAACAAAGTAACTTACAAAATTGAATAAGTATATAAATATTTGAATTGAGAAATAGATCAGTATCCATATTAGAAAGTAACATCACTTGGGGCCAGACTAAAGTGATAGCAGTATGAAAATACCCCTCTATCACTATTGACTCAATTGCAATACGACTCTGGAAAAAAGAGAGTAACTGGATTATTTCATTCTCAACAAAAGTTATATACTCATAAACATACATATAAGCGCACATTTGTATAATCCTTCAACGGTTATGACTTCATTATCATAAAACAGTAACAAATGAAAATATGAGAAAATAAACCATTTTCATTGAAATTCTGGACCGATCTATGTTAGATAACCATTAAAAACCTAGTAGCACTGGGTGGCTGATTCGTTCTAGTATGTGACTCCTCAACAATGCGCATCCACCACCACCTGAGCGTGGATCGAACCCAGGACCTTCGATCAAGCGGCCGCGCGAGACCAGAGGTCCTAAGTTTGATCACTGTGCAGATGGTCGTAGATGTGCACTACCGAGGAGGGTCATTAAAGAACGAAACGGCCATCCAGTATTATAGGTTTAGAACGGTTGTTTAACCTTGATCGCTCCGTGATTTCAATGAAATTCAGTAATCTTTGCAGCCCTATACTACAAAAAAATGGCAGCTATCATATACATAATTGTAAACAAAGTAGTGAGATTGCCGCCAAGTGTTAAAATTCCTATTAATATCTAAAGTCATTAGTTTAAAGACTGATATTAGAATATCATACTTTGCACAATATTCTCCAAAACTAGAATTTAATTTCATTTACTGAACATTTTACAGAAGAGAACTTTCAAATTATGCACTTATGGTGTAATGTCTACGGATAAACTATCGGTTGAAAAAAGCTTGATCAGTTAATTATATACACCCATAAAATGAATTCGAAATAAAATTCAATTTTTATGAAAAGCAACATTCTAAGATGTAGTTTGATGAGCAACTTTTTCAGATTTATTATAGTTTCTTCAATTCTCTTGGAACATCAAACATTACAAATTATAGAGTAAAACATCATGACGGATGTAAAGTACAGTGTTTTCTTAATCTCATTCAAATTCTTCACTTTCATTATTTTGTGATAAAAAGTCATAGTTGTCGTTTCTAACATACTTTGATGGAACTGAACTGTTAAATCCTAAATAAATTTTGATTGCTCACATGAAATTCCTCCAAAGATTAATAAGTATAAACCGACAGAATTCGATGAAGAATATATGTAACTGAGGATGGGGATGCTGAAAACTAAGTAGTTCCATACATCAATGTCAAACTTTAGGGGTGTCAGTAGAATCACTATCTACCAGTGACACGATCGGGTACACATTGTATGCATTGGTTAACTACCAAGAAGTTAGATTTAAATATTACAAATAAATATATAAACGAGGAATTCTGCTTACTGGTAAATATTTAGATAATAATTTCAGTTATCTATTCACATTGTTGATAATCTGTTAATAATAGGTGTGTTTGCTCATACGCCTTATTACTGGACTGAATGTATATGAATCATTTGAAAAAGGTGCCCCCAAATGCCCTGGTACGGCCGAGAAAGAGGAGAGTCCGCTCTCCCTCTCCAAATGCCCTCATATGGCCAGAGAATATATAGCCTCTGCCAGGGAAGTCCTACTCACTGCCTTCTCGTGGCGGAGGTGTTGTTTACGAAAGTGAGAGGACTAAAAGCGAATGTCCGGCGCTTTAATCGGGTTGGTGGACATGGAAAGTTCACCTAAAGGAGTTGGAAAACCCTGATTCCAAACCAGTGGTGCACATGGGCTCCAGTATCCTGAAGGAACAAATGGCGTACGAATCAATCATTGATCACCGGCTACCATGGGACTGCATCTCCTCACGATGCTCCACTGCCTTGTGGATCAGACATTCAGGTCAAAGGCTCCGGGTGTGGCCCCCTAAGAAAACCACCTGCCTCAGTCTGAGCACCTGGGCAGTATCACAGCCCTCACACAAATCGAATGAGATTTGTGAGGCGCATATTTATCTGGTGCTTCCTTGTACCAATATTTATGTGTTTAAATAAATAATAAATAAAAATTTGAAAAAGGTGATTCATTTATGAGATTTTGATTCTAGGTTGCAGTCATCGCGATGAATTTACAATACGAATAACTTCTAGTTCTAAAAAAATGCAATATCACTTATCGGGATCCATAAGTACTCAAATCCTAGTAATAATTTATGAAGTCTTTACAACACAAAACAGCGGAATGTGAAGTAGATTTAGAGATGTGGCGCTGATTAAAATGCAGAAATACAGTAATATTGAGTTATTAGTAATCATACTACTTGTGATTTGTAAGTAGCAACTATACATAGGAGAAAACAGTCAAATATTTCATGTATGATCAAACAGGAAAAAACTAACCGGTGACAAAAATGGATAAAAATCCAAAAGGCGATTAACCACTTGTTTTTCAAGCTGACAAATTCTTTCGCTGCAAAACAATCCCAAAAGCAACAGATATAAACCCAGAACAAAATCTTTATTATAATGTACATGATGATTTAATGTGTTATGATGAGTAGAATTATCGACATATTCATTTATCCACAGTAAAAGGAGTTTTAAGACAGCTGGAACTAAACAACAAGGAGCAAAAACGTGCCAACTGAAAATTTTCACTAAAGAACTCCGATTTAAAATGGAATTATTCATGAGAAGTCTTCGGTTAGTATATGCAGCTGCCCTACACCAAGAAACAAAAAAATCAGAGAAACTTGAACAAAGAAGAAACGACTTTAGCAGAACAATACGAATTCATTTACTTCATAAAATATATTCAGCCATTTACAACCTGGAAAATAGTGTTATTCATGCGAAAACAAAACAAGTATGTATGTTTTACCAGAAAAATATTGAATAAGGTTATATACGAGGCAAAACTAGAAAGAACGTATCCGAAACACAAAATGGTCTCTCCCTTGCAACATTACAACGGTTAAATGTGGAACAATCCCTTCATCGTGTCATCACAAATTATGTCCACTGGTTGGTTTATACGTAGGTGTTAAAGCATATACATTGTAAGGACAGAAGCGACGATTAATGTCTTTAAGTATTTTAGAGCACATGTCATAAAGTTTGCGACCAAAGGTACAGCAGGCTCCCAACAGTGTAACTGCTCGTCATTTGCTTGATAGTGGACGTGATGTCGATGTTTAAAAATGTTTCACGATAATCCACAGACGAAGAAACTCACAATATTGAACTTTATTGAAGCCATTATGATGAAAAGATTTAAACCGAATTTATGGATCCAATAAGTTAGTTAGCAATATTATTTTGCCTTGGTGCACCCCTTTATTATGAAATTATTCCTCTGTAACCTTAATCATAATTTCTAATTTTCTATATCTTGCTTCTGAACACTACTCAGTTAGCCTATACATCTTTTAAGTATTATATAACCTACGAAATAAATCTTTGATTTCGAAAAATTGTATTTCCACGATCATCTAGAATACTCATATACTTAACAAACGTTTGAACAACTTCTTGATTCTTCCACAATTTCGTACATCCTATTCTCTTTATATATTTAACTAAATAAAGGAGATCATTACCAAGTTTTGATTTAATAATTCTGAATAAATTGAGCATTGGGTAGATTGTTATAAATAAAGGAGAGCAGAATTTGTAGAATGAGAATTACTCCGCTTGTGGTTTAAATTCAAATTCATTTCTCATTATGCTACTGCTTCACACAACAAAATAAAAAACTTGAGGAACTTAAGTGATTGACTGATAAATATTTTGTCTGAACGCTTGAATCGATTTCCTGAGCCCTTCTAATAACCCCAAGCTAAATCTACACGACAACTTGAACACGAAAGAAAAGGCCGAAATGCGCAAAGAACGGTTTACTCCAAGGTTAGTTTATGTACACAAAATCGAGGGTATTTATAACATAGAAGGTCTTTGGCTTTTGGAACCCTACTAAACATAGTAACGGGATAGGTAATCGTTGAATCAGAAATTTGACATGCAACCCTTTACCTTTTAAAGGTTACTGAGAAACTATTATTCAGTGTTCATTGAACAAAATGTTTCCTAGCGTTTTTAAAGCCCTTTTGGGCTTTTTTCGAGGAATATTCTGGATCTCTCCAATATTAACACAGTTCGAACATGAAAAATAACAACCGGTAAAGCGAAAACACTGAACACATAAATGAACTGAAAATATATATGAGATTTAAAATATTCTTACAGTAATACTGACACAACAGTGATTATGCAAGAATTGTACAGCCAGGATTCAGAAATATTAGTGGTCATATATAAACACCATTCGGAATAATGTAGAACTAAAAGAAGAAAATAAGTTAATGAAAATCAGCGAATTGTCGCAAAACAAGTCAACAACTTTATGTTTGGAAAATCATATGTATACAGCTCAATATAAATTTTAAGCTCAGGTAATTTGAATAAATGTGCTGCCCTGGTCAGTCAGTCACAACGTAGAACTTCATACATACGTACATCAGTTCGAGTTACCATACCACATTAGCACAGAGATGCAGTTGTCGATTCAAATCCCATAGTGGTAGAAGTAGTAAGAGTATAAGCGGTAATCGGAAAGATGTTATTCAACGAGTATAATCCAGTGGAATAAATTTGGAAAGAGAAAATAAGTGACCGGTTTAATAGAAAAATAATTAAAACAACCGATTGTGTTACTAAATAAAAATAAGGAGAATTCAGCGAGGGAAATTTTCTTTTGGATGAAATCATTCATTTAAGCTGTACATTCTTATTTAAAGTTCCATGATAAAAATAATTACAATGATTTTATCTATAATATTTATTTAGTTTATCTAAACACATAAACATGGGTTCAAGGATGCACAAAATATATGTGCTTTGTGCGAGGGCTAGGATAATGCCCGCGCACCCAAACCGAAGCAGGGGGCACTCCCCAAGCCTTTGACCCAGAGGTTTAATCCACAAAGCAATGGATCGACGTCAGAGATGCAGTCCCATGGCAGCCGGTGACCGAAAAGTTTTTCAAAAGTTTTGTGCAGTTGGTTAAATAAGGCTCTTAAGTAACTGGTATGGTGACTGATCTTAATATCGCTGAGAAGGCAAGGTCGACAAATCACAAGCATCGTCACAATCAACAACGGTTAATAGTATCAACGTCAGTAACTGTGAATTTTTTGATTGAAGTCGCCAATCATTTCAAAATCGGTGTCGGAGATATTCAAAAGTGTACAAATGTCCCGCAAACGAAGTACTATTCAAGGAGAAATTAATCAATTATCTCCGTATTTTAAGATGATACAAGAAAAACGACTAACCTTCGTTACAAAATAGCATCAACTTTAATTTACCAAATACAAAACCTAGATTGAAATCAGAAGATTTAGTCATGAAAACAAACTTAATTTCTTTCTTATAGTAGTTTTCATGTGAAGTTAATACACTAAGAAAGGTTCGAATCCAATGTCAATCTTTATAAATCTGAAAAATTTCCATATTGTGATATATATATATATATATATATATATATATATATATAAGCGAACAATATTGCTTTCGATCACATCCTCATCAGGCTTTACTCTACCATACAGTAAAATTTATATTGATATACAAAATTATTAAACCAATCAAATAGCAGAAGCTATAGGAATTCGAGCCAGCAATCCAAGTCTGTGTTCGTAAGAAATTTTTAACACCCTTATCTCTCCCTTGGCCTTGATAAATGATTTTATTTATTATCATTTTCCATAATCTTTCTTCGTTTATTTTTCTTCACCATCCTCCTACTATTTTGTTTTTTTCTCAAATATACGTTTCACGGTCCAATTATCTGAACACTTCTTATTACGTAATCTGATAATTTTTCTGAATGTTATTTCAGTGTCTATATTTTTCTAAGCATTGACCTATTTCGCATTATGTAACATTGATTCGAGCCCTTATTATTTTTATCACAACTAGTACACCTGAAATCACACTACCAATTTGTACTTTTCATTAATGTTTAGTTATGTGATCTCTTCCACTGTTATCATTGACTCATAAACTACCTTGATTAGATTCATTTGGTATTGTTTGTTTGAATCTCCCTATTGATGTTTAGGTCTGCAATTGATCAGTCTCTTATTGGCATGTGTGCATACTGTGCGTATTGCCTCGACATAGCCTTAATTCACGAGCATTATAAGCAAAGATGGATAGTGGCTAGCACGAAACGCGCGTCCTGGATTCCATTGCATAGAAGTGGCATAACCAGGTAACTCTTCCTTTTATTGAGGAATCACTACAGACCATGTGGACTACACTAGACAAAGGTCGGCTGCATTAAACGTTCTCTTCACTGCACTAGTCAGTCTACCACGTATTACCTTACCAGCTGCAGGAAGAGAGGTTTTTTACTAGCCGTTGATGTCACTCTTTTCTTATTTTTTTATGAATCTGATATGATCAGTAGGGTCTCCGTTCACGAGTGTGCGACCTTTAAAATCGATATTACATAAAGCCTCTTCTGCCAAATAGCTGGTGTACTGTCTTCTAAAATCAATTCATTGAATGGGATAGGGGGTTACGTCAGTAATTTCGTCTCGCGAGCAGTTATCACTCTACCATATCGCACCACATTAGCGTTTTTTAACGAGTTAGTTTTCTACGGGGTGGGATCGCTAACCCCATGCCCAAGCCTCATCTATCCGCGTTTGCGATCGGTAGTAACCCCAGAGGGGCTCCAGCCTTTGGATGATGTAGAAGCTTCTACATATCTGGGCAGCATCATTGATGAACACGGTGGATCTGATGCAGATGTGAAGACGTGGATCGGCAGAGTGAAAGCAGCATATCTACAACTAAAGAACATCTGTAGTTCATAACAATTATCAACCAACACCAAAGTCAGAGTTTTCAATACAAATGTCAAAACTGTTCTACTGTGTGGGGTGGAAACTCTGAGAACTACGAAAGCCATCATCCAGAAGATGCAGGTGTTTATTAACAGTTGTCTATGCAAAATACTTCGGATCCGTTGGCCAGACACTAACAGCAACAACTACTGTGGGAGAGAACAAACCAGATTTCAACGGAGGAAGAAATCAGGAAGAAGCGCTGGAACTGGATGGGACACACATTGAGGACAGCACCCAACTGCGTCACAAGGCAAGTTCTCACTTGGAATCCTCAAGGCCAAAGGAGAAGAGGAAGACCAGAGAACACATTACGCCGGGAAATGGAAATAAATACGAGGAGAATGAACAACAACTGGATATAACTAGAAAGGAAGGCCCAGGACAGAGTAGGTTGGAGAATGCTGGTCGGTGGCCTATGCTCCATTAAGGATAACAGGTGTAAGTAAGTAATATAGTAGCACTCCTCATCACAATTGATTAGGATCAGACCCAGTCGTCTAATGATCCCTAAAAATCTTTCACTGTGAATTTTGAAAATTATTTCATGACCGAATCTCTGTTCATTATATAATCAACTTTTGCACAATAAATAATTAAGTATTTTCATAATTGAAATCATGAGTCAATTGAAGCTAGACCACCATGGAAAACCTGGAAGCACTGGACGGACGTTTCATCCTGTTTCGGGGCTCCTCAGCAGTGCGCATCCGCGATCCCGCCTCGCGACTGAGATTGGAACCCAGGACTTACCAGTCTCGCGCCAGAGCACTTAACCGATAGACAACGAAATTTGAGCAACCGTTCACCAATTATCTTCAGTGAGTTGTTATCTCACAACAGACATGTTTTACAACTATGAAAATATTGAAATCTCCACAAAACCCCTTCTGATTATAATCATATGCTCACTAGTGACTGACTTCAAAACACATGTCCTGGAATTCTAGTGGGAAGCAGTGACCAGTGTAGTTCAACCACGTCTGTTGTGAGATAACAATTCACTGAAGACAATTGGTGAACGGTTGCTCAAACTTCGTGGACTGGTTGAAGTTAGACATTAACACCATTGGATGCCGGCTCAGTGGTCCCATAATGGGACGAAACGGCGTAACAGTGCTTCCAGGTTTTCAATGGTGGTCTAGCTTCAATTGACTCATGATTTCAACTATGAAAATACTGAAATCTCCACAAAACCCCTTTTGAACATAATTACGTGAAACGCTACAGTGCCCTTATTAAATTGAAATACAACAATAACATTTTGATTGTTATCTGATTCCTATTAGAAAATGAGATATCCTGAATTGCAAGTTTTGGTAAAATAGTTCATCCGCAGTCCATCTTGATATTGGGAAATTTCTATGATGAACCGAATATGATTGTCATATAATGAATGACAGAAGTTACTTTTGGCGGTCCAGTAGGTGGTATTTGTGTATTTTAGCCTTATCAATTATGAGTAGGAAATAATTGGCTCTACAATTTCATTGCTTGAATTTTATTGGCTGATTATAAATTTCAGTAATACCAAATATTTCTATTAATACAGTGACAACACTAATCGGGCGAAAAAGTATTTCTTTTCAATTAGTTCCCTCATCAGTGTTGAATTTGCCAACCACCATTTATTTGGTATTGACTTTACTTTTAATTGTAAAAATGACATAATATTGTGGAGAATTGATGAGGAACTAGTTGAGAAGAAACATTTATTTAACAAACTTGTTGTTAATAAATCATGAACTTCTCACCTAATGACTAATGTATTAATTATTCGTACAACCAAAATGTACTAACTATTGATGTCACTTTTAAAATCTTGAACTGTATATTTTATTGAAAATGAGATTGACACCCAATTCAAACAGCAATTCAGCTCAACATTAACATGTTACTTTTAAGAAATGAGCATAAAAAAGTAGCTAACACTTACTGCACAAAGAAACGCCAAAGATTATATCAAATATTTCTTGATTACCGTATTCATAGGCAAACAATGTGAGTACGGAAAATATGAGACAAACAATCCCACTCCAAAACAAATGATTTATATATCTTTTCTTCCAGAAAGGCTGCCTGGAATGAAACAACCAATAAATGTTTAAATGGGTCATGAAAAAAAGGGCTATTTTAATTCAACGTGAAATATATTAAAATCCAGAAACCAATAATAGAATACACTTTGTCTTGTTTGTTTGGATCTTCCCATCGATGTGTTTAGGACTGCAACTGGTCAGTCTCTAATTCGCATATGTGCATACTGTGCGTATTGCCTCGATATACCTTAATTCACAATCCATCTTTGCAATAATAGAATAGTTTGCTATGACCGTTAAAGTAAACCACTAGGAGTATGAGCTTTATGAACCGACGTCAGAAATCCTAGGAAAGACTTGGAAATTCAACGATCAAAATAATCAACATTGTGAAGGGACTATATCAAGCTTGGAAAGTAGTGGTACTATAAAAAAACTACTATTAAATATGGAAATTGTTTAGACTATGTATAAAAGCTTTTAACGAGAAAGCTATGGGACCATTAGGAAACTAATTTGCATTTATTTTCTACATTCGACTGAGACTTTAACAAATTTTTTGAACTAGTTTCATATTTTTGAGGTAGACAATTGCAGAATTTCACCAACATTCAGATGAAGAGTACAAAATTAGAACTTAATGATAAGAATATACGAACTGATTAGTGTTAGATTTATGGACAAAAATCCGGTGTAGATAAACTATGTATCTGTGCAGGAATTCGCATCAGCAGTGGTAAAGAATGATCTTAATGAGAGGCCAAATGACAAGCTAGTCAAGAGCCAGTTAAGACAGGAAAACAGAAGTATAATTACGAGGTACGACTTGATTTAAAATGAAAAGGCGTATTAATTACTTATATAAGATCCTGACAACCTATCCCACTCTACAATGTAAGTAGAATTCAAATATATTTAATTAATATATGAAAATGACAAATTAGGGAAGCTTCGACAAGAAATTGTGGGTGTTATTAGTGAAAGTTCCATAACATGATAGCTGTTGAATACATCTACCACAATATTACACACAAGACATACAAAAAGAAATGGTCCCAGCTATGATGCTGTAGAACTTACCGAGAAATTCTAAACACATTCGAAAAGTTATTCCAATACAATCCAATGATCATAACAAATAGCAATGTTGACATGAACTACAAATAACGGATAGTAGCCAATGTAAGTTATGTACTGATAAGACATGAACTATCAAAACTAAATTTTAAAACATGTTACTTTAATAATTTCATTTTTCAGAGGGGGTTTTGTGGAGAATATAGTATTTTCACAGTTGAAATCATGAGTCAATTGAAGCTAAACCACCATCGAAAACCTGGAAGCACTAGACGGCCGTTTCGTCCTACTATGGGACTCCTCAGCAGTGTGCATCCACGATCCCGCACTCGCGAGATTCGAACCCAGGACCAACCAGTCTCGAGCCGGAGCCCTTAACCGATAGACCACTGAGTGCGGGATCGTGGATGCGCACTGCTGAGGAGTCTCACAGTAGGACGGAACGGCCGTCCAGTGCTTCCAGGTTTTCGATGGTGGTCTAGCTTCAACTGACTCATGATTTCAACTGTGAAAATTTCATTTTTATTTGAAAGGCTTGTTATGAAACAGAATTTTATGTTAATGTGCCAGTGTTTAATCTCTCTTGCTGTATTAACCAACAAAGTGGATACTGAGATACTTCGATGAATTATAAACTGGACTATCACTATAGGTAACAGTTAGAATTCAGAAGATTGGTGTAGATTTATTTATGAATGCAAAGAATATTAGCACGATCAGACGCTAAAAAATGAAATGAAACGATGTCGCTGACGAAAAAACAAATGTTAAAGAGTTTGGTCTGAATAAGAACATAACAAATTATTACTCTCAGCATTACGGATTGTTGAAATATTTAAATTTTTTTAGCGTAGACAGAATGTCGGATGAAATAAATATTAAAATTAAGACAAGAGTATTGATCAAGTCGAAATAAAAAAGTCAGAGTCGGAAGACAAAAAATGAGCTAATTTATATAATGGTCTGGTTACAGAATAAGATTAAATACTTGGACAGGGAAACACCTGTCTTATGAATCATATGAAGTAAAGAAAAATATGTATAAGCTTTCATGCATAGTTGATATATTTTACTCGATGAAACAAAAAAAATGATGCACAGATTGTGACATATACATACATAAAACTTCAAGCGCAACCTACCTTCAGAAGCAGTTGTGTTCTCGTTGTTTGATGATAGTATCTAAGTAATGTGACTGAAACCATGATTACAAAGACTAGAAAATGTACAGTAAATATGGGTAAATAACTGAGTACATTATACAAAGTGTTAAAAAATTCTGTGTTTATATTCAATAAAATAATTCCAGTGAACAAAGGAAGAACCATACGGGAAATCTGTTTATTTAAAGTACCTGTAAAAAAAAAGAAATATAGCAGTAGAGAAATAAAAGTAATTGAACAGAATGTTTTTCAGACATGGAAATTAAGTAGTAACGAAAATTTAATCAATAATTTACTTAAATAGCATGATAAAAGTGAAAAGAACGAAAACTATATCAAAAGTTGGAATAAATCAGTTTATGCTCTTAAAAGGATAAAGCAAACTTCCCAACAAATCATAATCACCACGATCGTAAGGCTTCGATTTAATTAACCACAAATCCAATATTACCGTACAAACTTAAAAAACGGCTATAAAATTAGATGTTCACTTCCTACGTTGCAAGACCGATTTCACAAGTATAAAGAACGTTAAAAAGAGTTTGGAAAATTACTAAAAATAGTACATAACAGTAATCATATTATTATTAATTATTATTTAAACACAAACATTGGTACGAAGACGAAATAAAATATATATACGCTACACAAGGTAGTTGTCATTAAGTAAAAAATAAAGAGGATTCAACGAAGAGAAGTTTATTTTCGAGGAAATCATTTACTGAAGCTGTACATTCGTATTTATAGTTATATGGTAAATATATTTCTATAGGATAGAAAAGATTGTATTGTAAATTGATTCGAGACTCTCATTAACAGATGAGGCTACGTAATGATCAAGGGGTAAGAAAAGAATATAAAGATGAAAATAATTTACGGGTCAGAATTATGAAAGATAATTGTCCACTTGACAGATATGAAGAAAAGCGAAAAACATGAAGGTCACAATAATAACTGAATAATAATAATCATGAAACACTATTAAAGGATTGTAAGCAAAGATGGATAGTGGCTAGCAATAGAATCCAGGACGTGTGTTTCGTCCTATTTGGGACTGGTCAGATGGATGTAACTGTATCTCAAAGTTGATACTCACTCTGGGACTCGAACCCAATAACTTTCGCTTCAAACGCCATCGCGTTATCCACTCGGCCACTGATTTCTGATAGCCACTTGCTTGTGCAGTTGGGTGAATTTTAAATTCACTTAGTATTGTTGGTTTGAATCTTCCCTTTGATATTTAGGACTGCAACTGGTTAGTCTCTTATCGACATATATGTGCATACTGTGCGTATCGTCTCGATATAGGTACTGGGTTTGAGTCCCAGAGTGAACATCAACTCTGAGATGCAGGTACATCCGGATGACGAGTCCCAAATAGGATGAAACCCGCGTCGTGGATTCCACTGCTAGCCACTACCCATCTTTGCTTACAATGCTTGTGAAATAAGGCTATATCGAGGCAATACGCACAGTATGCACATATGCGAATTAGAGACTGACCAGTTGCAGTCCTAAAACATCAATGGGAAAATTCAAACAAACATTACCAAGTGAATTTATAATTGACTACGGTTCACAGTTACAAAAGAATAATTTTGAAAATAAAAAAAATTTGTCGATAGGATAGTAACATCTGGACAACATCCGGAAAAAGTATCAAAAATTCAAAATAAAATTATTTTTACAAATATCGGATTTAAAGGAGATATGGCTGTTGAAATCTTGAATAAACGTATTTCATAATCCCTGAATAGAATGTTCTAGTCAGTTAAGCTTCGTACTGTTTTCTGAGCCCGGCCTACCAATCACGGATGTGTTAAGGACAAACATCCGATTTGTACACATCAATGTGCATCTATAAATTTGCTTGCTCACGTGGGACAGGTTACATAGGCTACACAAAGTGATAACTTTCTAGACATATCTCAGAACAGTACACGGCATGGCTTTTAAAAGGAAAATGCAAAACAATCACCAGTTTGATACAGGAGCGTTTAGCCAACTATGGAGACATAGCTGAGTCTTTAAAAATAATCTACAAGGTCGAAGGAATTGGATCGAAGGGAGGTCGAATCAAAAACTTATACAGTGGTGTGGCATTGACAATCCAACAAGTCAAGGCCGACCTCTGAGTGTAAAAGTATACGTCCAACCTCTCATCCTTCCTTGGCCCTACTTCTCTTTAACAGTATGTTTTGCTTCTTTTAATTAGTGTTTCTTAATTTCAAACCGTAGTCAGTTATTATTACCCTTTAACAATGTTTTATGATTATTATTATTCAGTTATTATTGTAACCTTCATGTTTTTCGCTTTTCTTCATATTTGTCAAGTGGACAACTATCTTTCATAATTCTGACCCGTAAATTATTTTCATCTTTATATTCTTTTCTTACCCCTTGATCATTACCTAGCCTCATCTGTTAATGAGAGTCTCGAATCAATTTACAATACAATCTTTTCTATCCTATAGAAATATATTTACCATATAACTATAAATACGAATGTACAGCTTCAGTAAATGATTTCCTCGAAAATAAAATTCTCTTTATTTTTACTCAATGACATAACGAGTTATTTTTAATATCATTAAATTTGTGTGTGGTCTAGGATACAGTCCGGGTGCTCAAACCAAAGCAGGTAGTTTTCTTAGGAGGCCTTTCCCCAACACCCGATCCAGAGACTTAATCCGTAAGCAAGTGAAGCGTCGTTAGGAGATGAAGACACACAGTAATTGATGACTGAGAGAACATCCACACGCCATTTGCACCCTTTGGGTCACGGACCCCATGTCCATAAGTCGTTTGGAATCAAGGTTTTTCAGCTACTCTATATAGATCCTCCGTACCCACCTACCCAGGTAATGCGCCGAATATTCGTTTTTCATCTTTTCGATTTCGAAAACAACATCCCCACCACGAGAAGGCAGTGGCTTTAAATACATGACCATATGTAAGCATTTTGAGAGTGAAATTAGGTTCTTCCCACCCTCGGCCATACTAAGACATTTGGGGGGCATAACAGGAATTGGTTTATTTCAGATAAAAATGAACTTAACAGTAAACAAAAAGACGAAATATAACCTTGCGCGGATTTACGAACACAAAGTGACACAAACAAAAAAACTGCAGCCAGAATTACGTATTGATGTACGTACATAAACTTTCATCACTGACCCAGTAGGTGTAAACGCTAACATTTCACCATAAGTTGACAAACTTTAACTTCAAGTTACCAAAAAACATTTAAACAATGAAATATTAATCGAAAAGCATGTTTTTTTGGATTTATTGTGAAAAGGAAGATTCCGTATAGCCTAGACTATGGTTGCGTTACGTACTCGAATCTAGGAACAACATCCTACTTATATCATTGATATTAATCGATACTTGATGCTAAAAATAATTATTTTGTGACGATATTTAACCATCAGATATTTTCATAAACGATTATGATGACCGCAGAATCAGTAGGCTTAATAAATGTTAACTGCCTAATAAGTTCGTGAAAAACTGGACTGTAAACTTCAGTCATTGAATTACTTGTGTGAGCTGACAGTATATGTGGGAAGTCGACTTTTATAAACAGGTTACATAGTTTATTTCGGGAGCGAAAAAATGACGGTGAAATAGCGAAGTTATAGTAAACAATGGTAAATAATAATATACTTTATTAAAAGTATTTTGATGAGTAGTTTTTGCCGTACATTTTACAGAAAATCTAAATAATAAAATGTAATGTAGGGAATTGAATAAGAACGAGATTTCATAAATTGACTGAAAACCATATAATATGATAATAAATAGCAAATAAGACATACCCTTAGCTGTAAGCAGACTTTGAACACGAAGGTGTGATGATATCAGGTTTGTTGTCGTTATTAAAAACAGAATCTCGACCTAGATAAGGGAAATCATTATGTACTGAGTGAGAAAGAATTTGATTCACATGCATAACAATTATGAAAGCGGAGAGTTATAATAACTAACTCATTTAATAGTTATAAATAAATTAATATATTTGTAATATCCCAATGAGTAGAAAAATTAGATTTTCTGACCAAATTTCGAATTTGGTTATTTATTCTCTGAAGAAATGGCTTACACTGAGTCATGAAACGTCAGAAAATCTAACTTTTCTGCTCATAGGGATATTACATATATATTAATTTATTGATAACAATCTACCCAATGCTCAATTCATTCAAAATTATCAAATCAAAACTTGGTAATTATACCTATCATCTAATAGTTATTTTATGTAAACGTTGGGTAAGAGATATAAAAAACAGGTTAGGTTGTATAAGTCAGATAGAAATGGATATAATCAGCTCAACATGTTACATTGCTAAAGCTTAATGTGTTACTTATTGATAACAAGTAGTACGTTTTGAACAGATAAATTATGGTGTCACCGACTTTTTATCGCTGGTGAAACATTATTCTGAAGGTGTCTAACAGAAAACATCCCTACAAAGAAGCATGTGGGCTAATAGGTTGTGGCAATTAAATTTTTAGTCTACTAAACGTTACAGCAAATATTTCCCGAGAATCTTTGTTCATCAAAACTGGATATATTATGACATCTAGTCTCCTTGATAATTTTGAACGAAAAAGTCCACTACCTTTTAAATGTAACCGTAAGAAATTAGGAGTGATCACCAATGTCAGTGACAAAATTATTCATATCTAAAATAATTCTCATTGCAAACTGAAACCTATACATGCCTTTTATGAGTTCTGTCACATATGTAGATACAGAATACGGAATTAAAAGTATAGTTCGTATTTTATATACCATACAATAACGGGAAATTCCTTTCATATTGAACGATTAAAAAGACAGAAACAACTTAAAATAGCAGTCGACTAAATAATATGAACAATTATCCTGAACCGCTGATCATCAAAGTAACCAAAGAGTCGTTTTAAATAATCACTAATGTCTCATTTAAGTATTCTTGCAGTAATTAGTGGAATACTATAGATTGCTTTTGTTTTTCGAATGCGTTTAAAACTGCCATCTATGACTGACTAACAGTAAGCGATTTGCACATTGTTATGATATTTCAATGCATGAATTCAGGTTAAAGTCAGTCATGTACTACATGCTATTTGCAGGCTCACGATAACAAGATACAAGTGGTGTTGTTCAAAGTAACGATACTTATGACGGTTATCAAGCTGTAGAAATCAGTCAGTACCTTGCTGAAGTGATGATTCACCTGGTTAGATGGATATTTCATTTTCCATAATCGAGATATCTGATAGTCTTTCGCTGAACGATACAGAAATGAAAGAAAAAAAATTCCGGTTGGTAAGTTACAAATGTTAACTAAAGGCTTCACTATAATTCAATAGGTTACACAATTGCGACCCTCAAGGTACAGATTCCTGTACTTGGCTCAAAACCACATTTCATGTGTGAGAGTTGGTGATAATAGTTGGTCGCCAAAACTGAAGTAGGTGGAGTGAAACTGGAACATGTGACCTATTGGTTGAGAGTCGAACACTGTAATCACCAAACTACCACTGCGCAGGCTACACAACTAAAACAAGTGGTTTCGGTAAACTGTATTCAAATGCATTTTCTAAAGAACAGACTCATTTTACAACATAAGTTAAGTTTGGGACTAAATTTGGCCCATAGCTTATTGGCATATATGCATAATGTGCGGATTGCCCCGATATAGCCTTAATTCACAAGTAATATAAGCAAAGATGGATAGTGGTTAGCAATAGAATCCAGGGCGCGCGTTTCATCCTATTCGAGAATCGTCAGCTGGATGTACCTGTGTTTGTGATATAAAATAAAATCGAATCGTTAATGTTGGGATGATTAATATGTAGTGTTAACTTGAATCAGTTAATAAGTGAACACTACACTCCTTGATTCACATGTCACAGTTTCTTAAATGAAGTTCTCTGCATTAAACTTGGCCAATTTTTTATGGATTATTAATTTGGATTAATAATTGTAGAACCTGATGAGAAATTATTGAAAAGAATATTCTTCGTTCATATAATTGTGTTTTAATAACTTATTAACTAAGAACCATTTGGATCAGCTAATGCTACTGAAAAGAAATAAGAATTTAAACCTACGTAAACCTGACAAAGGAGCTGGTGTAGTACTACTTGACCGCTAAGAATATTTGGATAAAATGAGTTTAATCCTAGAGTATGTCAATATATTCTTCAAACTTAAAGGAGAAGTTGGCAAAACATTGCAGATGAAAAACAGCTTTTGTGACGACAATATTGATTTAGAGGATATCTTACACTCCTTTAACTCATACCACCCTACCATAGACTTCACGTTAGAAAGGGAGCAAGATTAATCATTCCCTTTCTTGATGTACGTCTAGTGAGAAGAAGTAATGGTTTTTCAAAAAGATCCATCTTTAGAAAACAAACATGGAATGGCCAACTTCTATAGCTGGGTTCCGTTAAGTAGAGAGAGAAACCTGATTCATTCTTTATGTTATCATATACATCGGATACGTAGTACGGAATGCATTAACGAAGAACTCGCATTCCTCAAGAAAACCTTGATGAAAAATGGTTACCCAGACCGTATCATAGAGAAGAATATGAATAGAAGTGGTTTCGACAGGAAACCTATTTGTTCCGTCCCAAAGAAAAACCTTTATATAAGTCTGGAATTTCAAGATGATGGAACATCAAGCGTAATCAAAAATCGTCTAAGAACAACGACTAAAAGGACATTTAATGCGGCTAAACTGCGGATAACTTTCACTAGCAAGCACTTATTTTCTGTATCCGTAAAAGATAAGCTTACGCATCTGGTCGCCTCTATGTGCATCCACCAGTTCACCTGCTCTTGTGGAGCAAGGTACATCGGCCGTAGCCAGCGCTCGCTTTCAACTCATATACGAGAACATATCCCAGTTTGGTTCTACAAGGGTGAAAGGAAAGCAGTTAGGAGTTCTATACTTGAAAACCTAATCGACTGTAATCATTCTACGGATCCACAGTCTGATTTTAAGGTTGTTTATATGATTCATTCAAATGTGCCTCGATTTCTTCGTATCCAACTCCTAAAAATAGCCGAAACTCTTACCATCCATGAGCTTAAACCAGAACTATGCGTACAAAAGAAGTACATCTTATCGTTACCATGGCCTTAATATTATTATTATTGCATTTCCCTTTGCTTATATATTCTCATTATTTTATTCATGAATACTCATCATATTACCTTATTTATTTTTACACCTCTATGACCTTTAATTATTGTAACAAAAACATTTTATTCATTTTAATCATCATATTATATTCACTAAATCTATTGTTATTACTCGTATTACGTAACCTAGTATTATAATCTTTCTATTACGTCATCTTTGTTATTCGTGTTCACATTTCCTCAAGGAATTAGTACTTTAACAAAACATTTTCATACATATATACGATTGTACAGCTTGATAATAAATTCGTTGAAAAGAGATCCCTTCGCTGAACATTGTATTATATTTAGAAATTTGGATTTTTCAATGAGTAGAAAAAACATACTTGATTACATTATGGTAATAGCTTTATCTTAGTAAAACCATTAGGGTTAAATAGTGAAACAATTTTATCTTTTCCTTTCACTCATTAAAAATTATGAGTTCATGAATATCCTCTACCAAATTTCTAAATGTTTTAAAACCATTAAAAACTGGATTTGGTTTGCATACATATACATTAATAAGAAACCTTTTAGTTTCCAAATGATTTTGAATCTGACCAACTCCCTAGCACTAACAACATTGCGTTTGAAAGTCAACAGGTTCCAAGACTTACAGGATCTACTGAGAGAAGAAACTACTAGGGAGAACAGCTAGAGAGGGATCAAAGAAGTATTAACTTTAACGTGTCAGGAAGTTTTGTACCGTGAGAAGCATCATCACAAGGAATGGAACTCCAAAGTTCTTGATCACCCAACTATTGTGTTATCTCAACATTTTTCTATTCATATCAGTCTCATACATTTGTTTTGTACCGTAAGAAGTATCATCATAAGGAATGGAACTCCATCGAAACCTTATGAAATATTCAAGGATGGGAGAACAAGAAGACTACAAATAACAACAACAGAGAACCTCAAGCTGAATACACAGAATTAAACAAACAAGAGTTGAAGGGCATTAAAGCTGACAATTAGAAATATGGGGAAGACCTGGCAACGACAATAAAAAAAGTAGCAAGGAAAGAAAACATCATATAACTATATGATACGATGAAGAAACTGACAGGGAAGTATTTTAAACCAGAGAGATCGGTCAAGGACAACTACTGAGATTCAAAAAAGGGGAACAGGTGGGTAGATCATTTTGCGGAACTGTTCAATGGACCAGCTCCATTGAATCCATCGGATATCGAAGCACAACACGATCAAAGAATTCAGGATGGCCATCAGACAAGTCAAGTGTGGGAAAGAAGCACGACCTGACAATATACCAGCTGAAGCACCAAAGTTACACATAGAAGTTACTGCAAGCACGCTTCACATTCTATTTAGGAAGAATTGGGAGGAGGAACAAGTGCCACAGACGGACTGGAAAAAAAGACACCTCATCAAGAGATATCAGCACATGTGAAAGCTACAGATGAATCACATTACTATCGGTACTAGGAAAGGTTTTCAACAGAGTGTTGCTGAACCGAATCAAAGATTCACTAGACGCCCGAATTCGAGATCAACAGATCGAATCCCGTAAAAATCGGTCGTGCACAGACCAGATCCTGACACTACGGATCATCGTTGAATAATCGATTGGATGGAATTCGTCACTATACACCAACTTCATTGAATATGAGAATTCACTTGACAGTGTGGATGGGAAAACATTGTGGAAACTTCTTCGACACTATGGAGTACCTGAGAAAATCGTCAACATCATATGGAATTCATACGATGGATTACATTGGAAGGTGGTGCATGGAGGACTGCTGATACGAATTCCAAGTGAAGACTGGATTCAGATAAGGCTGCATACTCTCTCCTATCCTCTTTCTTCTGGTGGCTGAGTGGATTATGAAAACCTCCACATCTGTCAGGAAGCACGGAATAAAATATACAGGTTGGATGCAACTAGACGATTTGGACGTGGTAGATGACCTGACCCTTCCATCCCATACTTACCAACAAATGCAGGTCAAGACAAACAGTATAACGAAAACCTCTGAATCAGTAAGCCTCAACATACACAAGGAAAAAAGTAGAATTTGAAATCAAAAGCGGTCAAGTATTTATAAACAATTGTCCTCACAATATACTGAATGTCCATTGGTCGGATACCATCAGCAATAACCTAACATGGGAGAGAACAAACCAGCTTCCAAATGATGAGGAAATTAGGAAAAGACATTGGAAGTGGATAGGATATGCATTGCAGAAACAATCAAACTGCATTACGAAGCAAGCGATAATTTGTAATCCTGAAGGGAAACGAAGAAGAGGAAGGCCAAAGAACGCAGTGAGTCGGGAATCGGAAACAGATATGAAAAAGATGAATAGCTAGTGGAAGGAACTGGAAGGGATTGTCCAAGATAGAGTTAGATAGAGAATGCTAGTGAGTGGTCCGTGCTTTTCTATGAAGGGTAACACCATCTGCCTCTATTGTTCCTTTCGAGCGGGGAGGTCGTAGTGGATTAGATTCAAGATTATTCTTTAGGCTTCGCACATCAACCCTGTCAACTGTTGTTAAACAAATCCTAACGCTGTACGAATACAGAAGGCAACACGAAGCTCCGACCACAGTTTATTAGTGAATAAAGTACATCATAAAGCCGCCATCACAACAAGCGAATTCGTACAGAAGAACTAATGCGTGCGAACAACCGAATATAAATTCGAATCAATAATATATATATATATATATATATATATATATATGTTTGCTTCATCGAGCGATTTTTAAGCAACTGACATTTAAGCCAATATGTGCGTAGGCCGTCACGTGTGATCAAGAATACAAGTTCATAAAGATAATAATAGTAGTAATAATACAAATACACAAATCGTTACTGTTCAGATAAAACTGATAGTTTTATAAGTAAATTGAGGGGCTTGACAAGATTAACCGTAAACAAGCCTAATTGTAGGAGAGGTGCTACAGGGTTATGAAGGGTTGACCAATCTCACTAATTCCCCCCTCAACTTTGTTATCGATGACACTAGAAACAGCTCTGTTGGAGAAGGGTAGTAGTGGAGTGGATTTATTACTGGAAGAAAGAGATTAAGATCTCGGATATAAGGAAGATACTGTTTTACTATGAGACGATATTCAAGCTATGTCAACAACAATTAACCAACTAGCAATCAGTGTCCGCAGGTGTGATATGCACTTTGAACCTCTTAAATGCAAAGTGCTTTCATAAAGCCTGAAGAAGGCTGAACTGGCACTCATCCTTGACCCCTCAGTAGTCGAAAATTTTATATATTTGGGTAGCTATGTGAGTTCTATTGGTAGCGATAAGATCAATCTACATAAAGTGAAAGTTAGAGTAGTTTGCGTTAACCTGGATGTAAATAGCATTCATGAATATGCGTACAATATTTATAAACCGATGAATATATGAATATTCTACCACAAACATTTTCTTTAATCTCAAAAAGATCATAAGGGTGGGTTAACTGAGAAAAATGGATTTTATTAATTAAATTGTACTGTAAAATATCTGAAATAGTAACTCAACACTTTGCTTTTTAAGGATAGAATATCCAACAAAATATTGGATTGAACTTTAATTTTACTTACCATGAATTTAAAAAGTGACCCACCACTTTCATCAAAGAAATAACATATGGTATAATTAAATACAGGGAATAGGTTTAGCAAAACAAAGATGCATGCCTCCATGAATGAATTCCAAAGGACTTCAAGTTGTTTTTTCGGTTTATATCTGGAGCACAGCCACAAAGTAGGCACACTGAAAAACTAGGAATTACACTAAGTGTTACCCAAGAAAGCATGTTAGTGAAGTCAAATGTTTCTTCCAATGACCAAAGCCCAACATCGTGATCAGTAGACAGCAGATTGTTGGTAAGCTACTGTAAGTCGGGATCTCAAGAACCTATTACCAACTGATTGTAAATAATAAGGACTAACCTCATGTTCAATACCAGCAAGAGAAAACTCTAACACAGACCAAACTAAATAATGGCAGAGAAAGCAATTAATGAGTAGCATGTACAACAAATTGACTGCAGCACTCCTAGAAGATAAGGTATACGCAAAAACTGAAATTACCATAGGAACGGCAACAAAGTTTTTAAAGCCATTATTTCAGCCATAAGTATAGTGCCTAATGTGATCACAAGCAACCTACACAATTAACATTTTAAAAATGCTTACAAACTATTGCTGCTAAGTCGAGAGAATACTTTGCACAAAGAATAATGAAAGCACAATAAAATCAAGAATCTGTGAATGTTACATTAAGGATGATCTGTCTTACTGATCTCCAACGTAAAAACTGATGAATGAAGCTGCACAGAACACATATAAAAGAACTAGAAATTCATTCGGAAGCATTTTCTGAACCTAAAAAAAAAACGAAATGTTTCATCAGCACAGTTCAGCGACCGGTGTTGAATAGTATGAAAACGATTCAAAACTCAAAAGAATCCCGGAAAATAAAAGCAAGCCGAGTCAAATGCGAGTGTGGATATGAAATCACACACATGATTGTGGTAAGTAAATTATTCATATGGATAAAAATTACTTCGGGATAACAGACCAAAGATGGATTTATGGTCCACTTACCAAAATAAACTGCAAAAGACCTAGTTACGATGGACAATAACGCTTTGCATTGGCGGCACTGTGAATGCCTTATGTAGAAAGGAAATTAACTAAGCAGTCAGTTACCCAGAATCTGGCACGTGAGCAACGATTCAGAATGTTACACCTCATTGGCAAGGAGGAGACCGTCAAGCCGAATTCAAGAAAGAGACAGTGACAGTATTAGTGGTAATACAACAGATGGGGATAGAACGCATGATTTGAGGAGGAAATCTAGATTAGCGGAGTATACTTCGCTATACTACCAATGGGGAAGTAAATTATCTTCAGATTCAAATTTGTTTCCCAATACATCATGTGATAAGATATACCAATCAATAAATGGCATCCATTCTCTTAATAAGCGCTTGGTCACATCATAATTTGCTCTACTTCAGTTACCTAGTTAACTGAAACTGATGATTTTACTAATCTCTTAAATTTAAGAGATATGAGAAACAAGACATGGTATTCCCTATAACTGATTACCTGGTAAGTTTTTCTAGTTATACGAAAGTATTAGAATAATAGTGCATAACCTGGAGTCCCAACAAGTCCAAACTGCATTTCAATAACTCAACATGACATTTTGACTCAAGGCCAAACTTCAAACTTGACGGACAGAAGTAACCAACCGTATGTTTATTGACCACTACATATGGATAGTAGGAATATGTCCGTGTTTACGGAATCGCATGATTCTTGTTATATCCCATATGAATGTGTGGAGAGAAACAGATTATTTCGTATTTAACTCTCTTACTGAATGGGACTTAGTATAACAGAATGGACATAAGCTGTAAGGGTCAGGAGTTTTTGTCCGTAAGGACTTGTCGCTCGCAGACCGTGTAAAAAGACGAGAAACCGTAAAAGAACTTAAACCTAGGCTAGGTGCTGATAAAAGAGACAAAAATTGTAAATTTTCAGGTTGTGAGGCTTCGACAGAGAACGATGCCGAAGCCACTATGGATGCAGCACGAAACCATTTAAATAGGCTTCGGATCTGTTTCACAAATGTAACTAGGTGCGCAGATTGTCTCTGCCAGGCAAGATATGAACGAAGCCACAGAAAACTGGCTGACTCAGCCTATAAATAGTATGGAACTTGATTTTGAAGGTTTCACGTTGATAAGTGCCGACAGTACTCAGAAGCGTAAATGACGGCGAGTAGCTCTATTCATTAGGAATACTATCACATTTAAGATTATCTACGGCGTACCCTATGATATTGGGACGTGTGAATCAGTTTATTGCCGCTTGAAATGCAAGGGATAAGAGCTGCTGGTTAGTTTGGTCTATGGGAGTCCAAGCTGTTAGTTAAATGAGGTCTTGTTAGGCAGTCTTAACACTTGGTCACAAAGTGGTCGGTGTTCAGTCTCAGGAGACTTTAATGCACCCACGGTAGATTGGAAAAATCTGAGGACTTAGTTGTGAAAAAATTCCTCCGATTAAGAACCAGTTGATACAGTTATCACATGTACCTTAGTGTGACATATGAAAGAAGCGACTAGGTACGACCCGGACTCTGAATCATCCTTATTAGATTTTATATTGATCCATTATGAAGATGAGGTCACGAACCTTGACTACATGCCACCCCAATGTAAAAGTGATCACGTAGTTTTAACTTTTGACTTCCATTTAGTTGTCATAAACGAGTACGCGTCAGCGCAACTTTGACCTAACGTCTGGAAAGCAAATATACATGATATTATACACTCAACATCGTCGGTGGATTGAACAATTGGGTCAGAGTCATCACTTGAAACAGCTTGGAATGTGTTTCGAAATTTTTACTTAAAAGTTACTGCACCCCACATCCTTTGGACTACACCAAGGGGGCCAAGAAATTCTCCACCATGATTCAGTAGGGAGGTTCGCACCCTTCCCCATAAGAGGAGAAGAATGTGGGAAAGACTTAGGTTACTGGGTACTGATGAGATAAAATCTCAATATCGAGAAGCTAGGAATACTTGTGCCTCGACCCTCCGTAAGTCCAGAAGTTTGTAAGAAGAAAAAATTTGTTAAGAAATCTATAGAATGCTCTAAACTCCTGTATTCGTACATAAATCAAAGGACAACATAAACCTGGGAACTGCCGACACGTTATCCTAACTAGCGTGGTTGTTGAAACTTTAGAAAAGATTATTCGGAAGGAGGTTTTTAAATATCTCGATGAAAACCGGATTCTTTCGAAAAAGCAGCATGGTTTTAGAATGTACTTTTCCTGTCTTACTAACTTATTAGTGGCTCTTGAAGGCTGGTGCATTCTTAAAGATCAAATGTTACCCATAGACGTAGCCTACATTGACTTCAGAAATGCTTTTGACAAAGTTCCTCACAACCAGCTGTTATGTAAGTTAGGAAATGTCGGAGTTGAAGGTAATTTATTAATGTGGATTAAAGACTTCCTAGTTGAGCGTTAGCCTTGTCCATTCAGTTGATCTGGAGATAGAATAAAGACCATGAGGTTACACGGTGCAACAACGCCTCATGTCCTAGCCATGTTGTTACCATTAAGTGTCCTCGGGTTCACCATTTCTGACTTAATCCAAATGTTCAACCACTGATGCCAGTAATCACGATTACAGCATGTTTAACTTCAAGTGTCGTTTGATTCGAAATCAGTGCCACCTCAAACGCTTGTAGAGCCGGTGAAATTTCACTACTATTACCAAATCACTCGGCAGTCAGGTCACTTGATATCGAGCTGTTTACTAATCCTCGTCGGGGTTGAAAACGACTAACATGCATCAATGAATTGCACTCCATGGACTCGCTTATACGGTGGTGGTTACACTCTGTTCCATTTACCTACCCTTACTAATATATTTCTGCAATAATGTCGTCTGTGTTGTAGAGTCATCAAGGTAGCCTCAGTACTAGGATATGAGAGAATGTTAATCCACGTTAGGTACTTACTGTAAGGTGTGACCTCGGTGTTTGCTGGTTGATCATACCGTTTCTGCTTACCTCAAGTAGACCTCAATCATTCAACATAGATCATCTACGTTGACGATCTACATTCTTGTACCAACAGTGCAGTAACGCTAAACACTTCTTAGATGATCCTTCAAGTTTAGTGCACCCTATCCTAGAAGATTTACTGCAATAGTTAAGAAAGGTTTCTCTCACGAGAAAAACCCTCTGACGGCTTGGGTTTTCTTGGGAAAGTTTGTAGGTAAAAGAAAATCACTAAATGTAACATATTTTAACTTTAAAAGAGCTCTGGATAAGGTTCCACTTACTGAGATTTTACTGAAGCCGAAAGGCTCAAGTCTCCGGTTATCTGTTTGAATTAATTATAGACCTTCTTGTCAATCTCTATGGAAAGTGTCAAATATTTAAAAGTTTTCTCTTTGAAACCAGTACATCGTGGAATACCTACATTTTCAGTATTTATTTCATCAGTGTTTATTCTTTACATCAGTGAACCTTCACTTGCTGTCAAATCTCAAACTCCACTGTTATGACGCATCCAAAACCTTACGCTATCAGCTTCTAGTTTCGTTTGTCAAATTGCCTTATTCTCACAACTGTGTTACTACTAATTATTGTTCATTGCTTTTGTTATTAAATGTGAGTGTATTCTGTTTGCCTGTTGGGTCGATGGCTCTCTTTTTCTTTTTTCTTTTTTCTATTCTCTTCTAAAGTCTTTCGCTTATTGCTACTCATCCTCTTCTCAGCAAACTTCAAGATTATGACTTAACAATATGCAAGTTGTGGAAGATAGTGACCTAATTTTATTGATATAAGGTGCACCTCTTAATGCACTTAGATGTGTTTGCGTGTCTACAAGCCACTAGGATAGCACGAACTTTAAGTCATAGTAGATCATGATCCCAGTGATGTTAATATACTAGAGTCGAAATGTTATTGTATGACCGTTTAAGTTAAGCAATCTGGAGTAGGAGTCTGCACTGATGGTCGTCTTACCCAGTATAACTTGGCGCTGTAGCCAGACTATATTGCTCCCCTGTCGTGATTCTGGAACGGATACGTCATTACATGTCAGTGAATTTGTTAGGTAGGAGGCAAAGTCGAGATTCATTATACAATCCAACTATCCCGACAAACATGCCATTAATTTAGCGGCCAGTGTCAATGAAATCGCGTGCTTCCTAATAATGTAGTCAGACAGCTGAAAAGTGCAGACTGCAACTGGTCTTTACGGTTTGCAGTGATAGTTTAACGACGACGAAGGTTTTTTACCCACTGTTCGATGAAGACGCGGACCACTGTTTCAGCAGCAATGTTCTTGATGGTTACTGCTTTTGGCTGTCAAGTGAAACGGTCTACGCAAGTTAAGAGATATGAGTATCCATTAGAATCTGGTATGAATCCTACCACGTCCAGATGAATATGATTGAAACGAGCATCGGAAGTTGCAAAAGAGCCTAAGGGACATTTTTATGAAGTTGCGTCGATAATGTTTCGGCACAACTGGGCGATTCCCACTAGTAGGTGTGTCACGCGGTAAAGCTTCCTTACTCGTTTCCATTTGTCGATACATAATTTCAAGGTTGTGGGAGATAACTCTTATCGAAGATCATTGACTTCTTTTTTGAAACTGGGTGAGTTTAAGATGGTCGATTCCCTAAAAACTGTTCAAGGAAGTTGCACAAGACAAAGCTTTTGAAACTACAGAAATGTGTTGCATATCTGAAACACTGCGAAATTTGATTTGATTGTCGTGACTCTCAAGGGGAGTACTCGTCTGAAGACGAGCATATACAGAAGGTAAGAATTTGATGGCCAATAAACAGAGTTAATTCTCGGTCTTCAACAGAGTGTCGAAAACGTCGTACAGCACAACACATAGCTGGGAATTCCCCACCGATAGTGCTATATTATGATTCAGTGTCTTGCAACCGTCTCGAGAAGAGAGCTAAAGGTTACCACCTATTGTTTACCAACTGTTGTAAGACTCTTCCGAATGCCGAGTCGAATGTGTCTACTGCGGTACTATTGGGTGTTTTGAAGTCCTGATGTGAGAGCATGGTTGCTTTCGATACAGGTTCCTCAGCTGTGGAGAATTACGTTTTCAACTTGTCGTCGAAGTTGATGAGTTTCTCATTTTCATGAAGTTGGTCTATTAAGGACCTCATGAAGGATGAACGGTTCCATATGGGCCATCGATAGAAACCTTCGGAGCCGTTGAATGTATGCAATTGCTTGGTTGTGGTTGGTTCCAGGCAATCCACAATGGCCTCCACTTTGCCTATCAGGGTTTAGATGCTTTGAGGATCAAACGTATGTCTGGAAAAATCTAGAGAGTCGGTTCCGACTTGATATTTCTGAGTGTTTGCACTTGTAGTGGATGTCGAGTCGAAGACGGACTATGATCACCACTACAATTCGTTTACGCGCCCAAAAAAACGACTTGGTTCCTTTGATAGCTCGTAAATCAGAAGACTTTATTAATCCAGATCAATTGTATTTATTGGCGATCTCGTGGTATCGAAATAATACCGAGACGTGCCAAAGAGTACAGGCGAACAGGTAGTGCGCGAGCAAGTTCGAACCAAACAAGGCGGAGAGCGAAAGCAGAAGTGAAACTGATACAGTTAAACAAATACAGTAAAACAATCTCTGGTACAATTGGTTACAATAATAATAATTGTTTCCGTTA